CGGTACCTGCAGTAAAGCATTGTCTAAACTCTAAACCTAGATTTTGATTCCATTGCAATTAATCATTGTCAAACCCTTGTTACTTTTTAACTTCGAACTTTGGTCACTGAGCAAACATTGTACCTTAATTAGTACACAGGTACAGCGTACAGGTATCGTTTATGTAATAGGACTTACCAGTAAGAAGTAGTTCAGCTCCCAGGCTAGATTATTATTTTTTTTTTTTGGGGGGGGAGGGTTAGTAGAGGAAAATTGAATAAACCTTACTCTACCTGCTCACTGAGCTGTTGTCATGTCAAAGTAAAAATGGGGGGGGGGGGGGTATGTTAAGTACGGTACTGTTTATCCCTCCCCATTCCCTTCAAGCGTAACATAGGGATGGAGAATAGACTGAATATATTGACCTATTGCCATACTAGATACTACGGCAAGGTTGTTTTGTTAAAGTGATTTGCTCTTCACATTTATAATACCTTTTTAAGGCCAAATAAAAAAATAAACATGTTTAGCGTCCTGTTTTTTCGAAAAATAGGATGGAGGAGTCCCTTTTTTTTCAAAATGGCCGCTCAAAATGGCCGCTTGGTACATTTTCCCTGACAGTCAGGCAATTTTTCAAGATGGCGGCCAACTTTTTTTTTTTTTTTTTAAATCAGAAAAAGATCCATTTTAGCAGTGTTTTTCATGTTTTTTTTTCTTTAAAAAAAAAATTTTCAAAAAAAAAAAAAAAAAATAGGAGGCGGCCCCCAAAAAGGAAGCGGGCGGGGACGCTAAACATGTATATTTTTTTTAATGGCCTAACAAAAAGATGAGGTACACCGTACACGTAGGACCTTTGTTGCTTGCAGCTACTTGTACATGTAATTTTTAAATTCTCATTTGCTATACATGTATACATGTACATGTACGTACAACCACTAAAGAAAATGTGCCAGTTACCAGTAATCTTTAAGTGGCATACAGTACAATAGTACATGTACCGGTACTGTACATGTATGTATATGAACAAGCCTTCAAGAATGTAGAAAGCTGTAAATGAAATTGTAAAAAATGATTGCATGAATGTAGCAATTGCCTCTAAAAAAACAACTTCTTAGTCTTCTTCTTCTATTTGGATTTTGCTCACTGATCTTTTTCTCTAACTCTTCGGCTTTCTGCTGTAAACAAACTTAAAGATAAACTCGAGTTCTGGTGAAAAAAAGAAAATTAATTCTCACAGAATCAAACGAAACTTACACTGAATGTTCAAGATTACAAATAAATGACATGTGCCAAACAATTTTGGAACAAAATGTATACTGGCTGAGTAATGAGCATAGAAAGACAAGGAAATCAAGGTAGTACTAGCCCCGACACCATGTGTGTTGTCCCATATATAGCTTTCTGTGTACAGTGCTTGTTACTTTTCCAAGACTCTGCAAAATTTATTATGATTTTGATGACTCAAGAACCTTGTAGTGCACACCAATACTTCCAGGCTACATGATCAACTGTTTCTGATCCATTCCACACCTTTTCTTTCACAATGCAATCGCATTACAAGAACTGGAGTTTATCTTTAATAGAGGGTTGACTACCCCTTTAAGATTTTGACATTTTGCTCTTCCCAATATTCTCAGTTTTTCTTTGCTGACACATACCCATTCATGCACGATGTAAATTAGCATTTCTGGCTATCAGTGGGGCATGAAGAAGGCATGAAGAAAGCATGAAACTTGGCTAACATGTAAATCATCAGAGCAGAAATGATTTCACTCAGAGATTTAGAAAGTGAAAGGTAAAGTGCATTTTCTAGTTAGAAAATAATTAAGTGCTCAAGTTTGTCTGTTTTCAGACCTGCATGTACTGTACCTGTTCACGTACATGTACATGTGTGGACATTTTCATCTTGCTTGGGCAACTTCAATGGAAATCCAACCTGGTATTAAACAAGTTGATGTTTTAACCCATTGCCTGCCAGAACCGGGTGCTCCCTGTGTTTAACCTATGGGGAATATTGAAAATTCAGAAGTAATGATGGATTAAAGGTAAAGACCAGTTCTGGTCATGCGATTGCATTGTGAAAGAAATGTTGTGGAATCGATCAGAAAAGTTGATTATCTAGCGTATACACCTGTAAGTATTGGTGTGTACTGCACGGCTCTGGAATCATTCAAAATGATAAGAAATTCGGCCCAGTCTTGGTAAAGTTACAAGCTCTGTAGTTTGTACACAGAAAGATGTATATGGGACTACGCGACACGTGTGCCTGATAGATATAATCATTTACCAAATATATCAATTAGTAGGCGGTTTTCCAGCAAAATTTGTATCATCACGTATTAGTCAAAACATATTCTTTCACATGGTTGGTAATGAGAGCTTCCATTTCATTTTTTGAGAGGGGGGCATCTCCAAAACTGGTCTATACTTTTAAGGAGAGAAACATTCAAGAAAATGCTCTATTCCACTTGTATACATACATGTACATGTATATTCAGGTGCAAGTAATGTTACACAATGCTAAACAAGTAAATATCGTCCTTGTTTTCACGAAGTGACGGTAGTGAGGAAAATCGTAACGCAAAGTGAATGCAATTTTTTTTCACTACCGTCACTTCGTGAAAACAGCGACGATATGTACGTAGTAATCTTTGCATTTTTTTTTGGGGGGGGGGGGTGGGGTCAATCATGCATGCAAGAATTTGGAAGAAGATTACTGTGCTTTGTTTGATTCTGAGAAAAGAAAAAAAGCACCAGCGAAATCAAGTACAATTGATGCCATCTAACAACACTGGTATTAAATGTTTTCTGTGATTCTCAAATACATCATTTTAATTCACTTGCTGTTGTATGATCTCCTAAAATTGTCAGTAATTCCCTTTGTACAATATGTCCCTGTGTGAGCCACTGCATAGCCTGTCAGTTGTTCCCTGGCTGTAGTGAATACATTATAGATGACTCTATGAAATCTTTTCAGGACTGACAGATGGCGTTCATTGATTAATAGGGATTAGGTGCATGTAAAACGATCAAATGTGGGACAACTTTTAGGTTTATACATGTAGGCATACATGGAAAACAATAAATTGATGAATGTAATGGTGAAAGAAATGAAGGAAACAAAATATAAGTGAATGAATGAATTAAATTTATGAATAAACAAGTTGTAACTAAATGAATAAATAATTTAATTAAATTATTAATCGTGAAGTATGCCAGATTTTAGGCCATAACCTGGTATCAGGCCCTAAAAAATCCATATTTCAGGCCTTTTTCAGGTTTTATATTGTAGTTGTATAGTACATGTATGAGACTCCCAACATGCCAGTCTCTTTTTCAGGCTCAGGTGTTGAAACCAAGTAGTATCCTTGCATCATGTACAGATTTCTATCATTTATTTATGGTCATACAAATGTGGTTACCGACCAATTATTTCTATTTAAACCGAGCATACTCACGAACCTCCCTTACTACCTGGTCATTTCATTCATCTTCTCTGAGGTGTATTTGGAAAGGAGGTGCTCATTATTTAATTTGGTTGCCAAGGTTACATGCCATGCTTTCAATTCCTTTCAATTGGTGCTGGCTCAGTATCATCACTTCTTTTTTCCTCATCTTGGTTCATTTATTAAGCCTAGTTCACATATATATTTTAGTGACATAACGTGATACATATACACTCAAATAAACCACCAGGCAAAATAGAGCGTCACAAACAATGTACCGGTATTTACATTTTTATATCATTAAAAGTGGGTACTTTTTATTGGTCTTTGTTGCATGCACCTCTTCTTTTTCACGCACTTGCCATTATTTATGTACATGTACAGGTGTACATGTAAATTATCTCTCTTTTTTTGGCTGTGGTTTTTGTGGCGGTCTACCATGTTACTTTATTGTGGTGTTAGATGCCGATGATTTCTACTACTAGCAACGATAAAGTTAAATACTGTAATTAACATGCAATAACAATCTTAATATTCTTTTATGTTAAAATCTTCAACTCTGATGATAAGCATCACAGTCTCAAACTTGTATGTTTGTACATGTACTGCGGGACACAATGTCAAAGTCATGCCCACATACATGTGGGCATGTGCATGTACATTGTAAGTGAATATATTCTTCATTTTAAAAACAAAACGGCCTCCCACTCCCAGCCCTCCATATAGAAACCGTGTAAACAGTTTATCGACAGCTGCTTCTGTCCAGTAGCACTTGATTATTTTTCCATGAGTGATAGAGTACTTGAAGAAATTGATAGCTACAGTAGTTGAAACCGCTCTCTAATGACAGCCTGTACCACATTCACACGTGTATAACTTCCTGCATGAAATACCAGCACTTCCTCTATTGGTCTGTTATAAACACATCAAGGCTTGTGGTCTTACTACCAGACTCATCTCTTTCCAGTTCAGTGGGTAAAAGTGTTGGTTGGTCTTATGATCCAGCTTTAATTATATGCACATGTAGTTTGTGTACATCATTCATACAACTACATGTACAATTGTGTAGTTTAAAAAGCCAGAAAATAGCCCTTGCGTGTACTGTACATTTTATGCATTGTTTTTCATACTAAGTCACAGGTTTGACAAGTTTGTTTTCATGTTATGATAGCAAAAGAGATTAATAATCTTGATGTGGGCCTAGATGTATGGTACATGACTGCTGTCGCCATGAATGAAAATGAAGCAGAGACTCAAAAAAAATATGTGCAAATGCCCTTGATTTATTCAAAGACTTTTCTGGTAAAACCTCAAGCTTTCTAGTAGTAGTAAGCTTGAGGTTCTCAATATTTTGAGTTCAGAGTTGAAAGACCATTGAAGAGGCCATTAGTCTGCCAAAAGAAAAAGAAAGGGAGTTCCTACTGTGTCTTCATGTACATGTAGTTTATAGACAAAATGGAGACACTGTTTTATCTCTCTTCTTTATACCAGCCTCCCTTTAAATTTTGTTTAAATCCATTCATGCACATCATCTATAATTCATTTTCCCTTTGATTTTGTTTCCGTCTCCTCCAGCTGCGTAACCTTCAATTGAGGCAAGAGCAAGAGCGGATCCGCAACTTGCAGGACGCTCTCCACGCCCTCGCACGGCAGCACGACAGACTCGAAGTCTTCTCCGCGAGCTTCTCCGCAAGCCCCGGGCTCAATAACTTCCACGATACCCAGGAGTTTGACTACGACGACCATGAGTTCCACAGTGTGATGGACTCTGGGAGCCGAGGCAGCAGCCCGACGGGTAGCTTTGATGACCGACTGAGCGACGTTGAGAGCTTCTACAGCGTCAGGATGGATAACCCTGAGCAAAGGTCGCCAACAGAGGGCGCCTTAGTTCAGAGTAGGATATCGGCGGATTCTGAGAATCATTCGAACAGTAAACAGCAGAGCAAGGAAGACCTTGTTGTTTCGTCAAACAATGGAGATTGCAATATAACCAAAAGTAGAGACTTGGGACAAAGTGATGTGTTTACGTTTGGCAGTGTGCCTAATATTATCATTCCAGGATGTGCAAGGTAAATAGTGTTTTAACATTTTAAACTTGTGAATTTGTGAACGCCTTGCTTTGCAATGCATGTTTTATGTTAAATAAATTGTCAAAACATGCCATCATTTCCATGACAATAGCAGAAACTGAATTCTTCCCCCGATATTGATACTGGCATTCATAGAAAAGAGATTCCTGAAGGTTGAAGAAATGCTCACCTGTAGACATCTCATTTTAACAAGCGCTTTTAATCATACGTGTATAATCCTATTACCGGTATATATATGTTTATAAAGGTAAAACTGGATGGATGGTAACACTATCCTGCATTAAATAAATAAATAAATAAATAAATAAATAAATAAATAAATAAATAAATAAATAAATAAATAAATAAATAAATAAATAAATAAATAAATAAATAAATAAATAAATAAATAAATAAATAAATAAATAAATAAATAAATAAATAAATAAATAAATAAATAAATAAATAAATAATTTTTTAAAATAAAGAAAATTAGCACATTACCAGTTTATACCTCAGTGCCGCATCGACTGATCAACACAATTCAATCGACTCCAATCCACCTATATTTTGCCATTTGGAGGAAACAGTAAAGTAAATTTTTTTGGTCGGTCTGCGATCACTCGTGCTTGACATTGTTAGATATAGATTCACCTTTTACATGTATCTTTTAAACTGTAATTCTTACTGATCTAAAAAAAAAAATTCTTCTCCATTTCATCTGTAGAGTAAGATTACCAGCCCCCATGTACAGACGAGACCACATGACCTTATGGACAGTACTAAAACAATGCATCGGCAAAGAACTCTCCAAGATCACTATGCCTGTCGTCTTCAACGAACCCTTAAGCTTTCTCCAAAGATGCTGTGAATACATCGAGCATGCCCACCTCCTCGTCAAGGCCAGCATGTCTGACGACCCTCTCGACAGGATGAAGGTATGGTGTCCTTGTGTTTTGTAGGAGATGGTGGTGGTGGGGTAAGGGGGTGGGCGTTGGAAAAACATGTAATAAGATTGTTCATGCTGTCAGCGGTTAGATGGTTGAACAACACAAACCATGCTCCGGTATACAAATAATACACAGCAGTGAGGGCATTAGTAAGAATTACCCACACAAGGTACCTTTGGAACAGTCTAACACGCCAGAGGTGGTAGCCGAGGGTGTTTGGACTGTTTTGAAGGTACCGAGTGTGGGTAATTTTACTATTGCCCGAACAAAATGCTGTGTATTATTTGTTTTATAAGATTATGTTTTATTTGTTACATAAGATTGTTTTATAACATGATTTTACTACTGACTGGTCATTATAATTGGATAACGACCGGTCATTGTCCGAATTACACGTGTACGTGTACGGTCACGTCACGTGTACGCTTTCAACTGATAATTTGATTAGGATCCACGTCATCATCTCATAATAACAATTGTCTCGCGGTCACTATCCCATACTAACCGAATTCCCAACTTCAACCTTTGATCAAACATTATACATTTCTAACCCTAACCCTCAAATTAATCTAAAAGGGAGCCTAACACCCATTTGCAGCCCTACCCCAAACCCTATATGTTTCACGATTTCTTTTAGCGAATTCCTGAAAATGTATTGCTTCAAAAATGGCTGTTTAAATTCTATGAAGGGTCATGTTGCAAAAGTTTCTTGGTTTGCATTAGCCATTCCGTGAAAAGACATTTGCAGCCCATCACTCTTCTGTACAGTATATATGATAAGGAATGCAGGGTTTTCCCCTTTATCTGAATCTGTTACATGTACATGTACATATAGAAATGCAAATATGAGATGAATATTTGACACTGACTATAACCTTAGAGCCATTAAAACCTGTGTCTGTTCCATCAGGCCTTCTTGCGTAATTACTGCATCGGTCAGTAAATGAAACCAAACTCCATTATAACTAAGTGATGCTTGTGCCTGCCACAAGGAAAATTATGTGTTACCTTGAGCACATATCAGGGCACATTGGTTTAAATCATGCTCTCATTATTGTGTTTCATGAGAAAAGGACCATGATTCACTGTCTTTACATTGTATTTACATGTACAATGTAAACTATTAAGCTCACGCACGCCAGCTATCCCCCACCCCTGACGACGGATAGTCAACCTGTTCGAAACGTCGAGCCACTCCTACCACCCATCCTCTCCAACCGGTGCTATAGTTCTCCTTAGAACTATATAAGCTAAGAAAGATAACCAACAGTCTTTTTCAAGGACTTTTCAGGACTACACACACTCAAGAAAGATTACAAAGATTCCTTTTCAGAACTACCCAATCCTCCCCCTGTCTGACATGGTGCAACCGCAAGTCTACTGTATATACCTTTGTTGTAATTCATATTTAATACTTTCAATTAAAAGCATACAAATTTTGTTCCGAACATGTTATTGTACCTCTCCTCTTGTTAAAAGTCAGCAGGATTTTGAAATGGACAAGAATACACCCTTTTATTTTTGTTTACCTTTCCTGAATTAGTACCGCATTTGATTTTCTTATTGAAGTTTATCACATCCTTTATTCTTAGTGAGACCTGTGATTGTATACTGTAGCTCTTTGTAAATGTAAGGGCTATTTTGAGACTGGTGCATGTACACAACTCCCTACATCCTAGTTACCGGTACTAAGTCACCAAGTGCTCCAATTGAAGTTAATCTCAACTTCATATTTGCACAGTGGCTTCAATCTGTGGGCGATATCTGCATTTACACTCCAGATAACTGTAATGTACTGAAAATGCAGACTGCTTTTATTTATCACACTCCAATGTAGTTTGTCAGATGTTTATGCAAGTAATACAGAGTTAGTTTTTCATGGCTGAATTGAATACTCTCCTCATTGTGCATTAGTTATATGTGCACCTGTAATTCAAGGCTAGTTTAAAGTGTGAAAGAAATACCGGTACATACAATTACATACAGTGTTATGAATGACTTTTCAGTGTCAAAAAGAGCCAACCTACCTGACAAAGTGTGTATTTTTATTGGCATCAATGTTGTGGCTATATTTATGATACAGGTACAACTAATGTTACCGGTACTGTACAGTATGTACATGTACAGTCTTTTGTTGTGGTGGTGGTGGTAGTTATTGTTGTTATGTGTTTGTTTGCGTGCTTTTCTGTTCATCTATGTTTGTGTCTTTTGTGTTTTATCTGTGGGCCTACTTTGTACATTTTAGCTTACACATGTAATTTACTTGTATACATCTCCGTGATGTCCAGTGTACATGTGCAGTATGTGAAGTTTTAAAAGCACATAGGAACATGTACATACATTGATGGTTCTGAATTGATTTGATTTTTATTTTTTTTAAAGTAATCTTGTTCATTATTTTACTATTTCCAAATACATTAACTTCAACTATCAACTTGCTTCTAAAAAAATACTGAACCTCCAACACAGTACAAGGGAACGATTATATTTCATAGTCAAAATATTATGTACCGGTAATGTGCATCAGTCAGAAATGTGCAAGAATAACGTATTAGGGCTTTGGATTGTTTTCCATCAGGATTGAGTATACATGGCTTACATAATATACCGGTAGGCCTATGGGTACCTGTATACATGTATTCGGACATGTATTTATACCCTTGTCACTGATATTTAATGACATGTAGAAGTATTGGCCATGAGAGGGGCTCTAATCTTCCAGTCTAGATACTTTTGACTCAGTGCATCATATCCACATTTAAAGGACGGGGAGGGGGGGGGGGGGCTGGTGGATCCCGATAACGGGCTTCTAAAGGTAGAAGATACTACATGTATGTGTTTACATGTAACATGTAGCATGACTTCACAGTTTCTTTTAGAAACTTAATTATTCTTGAGATAGCTAGGTGCAAATAATCTTAGTCTTTGAACTGCAGACTCAGATTTTTTTTTAAATGTACATGTATACTGTGTGTTGTATCTACAAGTACACTGTATGTACGCAGGTCATGAACGTACATGTACATTTACCACAAAAAAAAGAGAAAGACTTTCTGTATGCAATGCAGGATAAAGTCACACTAGTCTAACTGCCAAATGATAGAATAGTTTTGTATTTCATGTATATTCACAGAAATTTGAAGTAGAAATTGACAAATTAACTAGCAAATGTTGAGCAAGCGAGAGCAACCAATCAATGTGAAAGGAAACTGAATGTGAAGACTACCTTACGTAGTCAATGACACAATGACCCAACCCTTTTATTTGTTGTGCAACTTTAGTCATTCTTCGAGGAGACTGGTGCATGACCATATCTTCCAACACCTGACAACAGTCCTTTACAAATTTTGATACACGTGATCTTTTGTTTACCAGCAGTGCACATGGAACATAATAGTATGGAATTTCCATTTGATGTACAGACTTTTATGAAGTAGAGATGCCTCTCTCATACACTTTGGTGGGGAATCTTGTAGATGAATGGGCAAGAATGCAATAAATCGCTCAGAATAATTAAAGATATTTCTTGGGGTGAGGTTCCTTAAATGTTGTTTTTATATAAACAGTAGCATGTACTTTGGCTACCAACCAGTATGTTTTTATTTCCTGTGAAATATTTAATTCATACACCTTCAAGCAAATGCTTCCAAGTTCCAATGCATATTCATATTAAATAATATTTCATATTTGATTTAATATATTCATACTAACTGAAGTGTATCCGTAATATCCATGAGGTGCAGTCAGGAGATAAAATATCCATGACAATAATGTCGTCATCAGTCAAGTGCCGGTCACTGCCACTTTGATTCCAGGAGCCATTGTTGTTTTGATCCAGTCACCTAAAATGTAGGGGGCAGGTCACATTGTCCAATCTTATCAATATTTTGAACCTGGATGTGGAGCTGTCAGAGTCCAACCCATCTTTTGAAGGACTCTTGACTTTTAGATTATGATGGCATAACCATGTCTCGCACAATAGGGTCGCATTTTATCATTTCATAACTGGGTCTACATGTATGCATAATAAGGGGCGAAGGGTGAATGCTACATTGTACATGTGGGCATGGGAATCGTTTGTGTTTTTCGCAACCCTTGAAATAAGCGTCGAGCAACTAGGGGCAATTTATTTTCAAAAGTTGCCCCTGGTTGACAGGGATTTTACCAGAACCAGGGGAAATTTTCCAAAAACAGATAATGACAACCAATTACACAAGAATGAATTAACTTTGAGGTGAATGTAAATCGTCACAAAGCAATGAATTGACTCTATATATACATGTACTACTCCAGACATTTAAGAGTTGAAAGATTTTTTAAAGCCTGTTTTATGTCCTATTTTCATGGAAAAACAGTTCGGTAAATTCACAAATTGGTTGGGAGAAATTACTGTTAGAGGGTGTAGCACAGTGACGCCTTCGAAGAAAACACAAATATGTTTGTGCTTTGATAATTTGTTCAGGATTTTTTGCACGTTCGAGGGTTAGTATACGGTACAAATATAATAGTAACATGTCATTAAAAAATACACAGATTTTTTTTCATCAACCTTCAACAATGTTACCGAGTCACTTTAATCCTTATTCTTGAGCGAAATGTCGCCAAAGCAAAGGTCGCCAAAGCAATGGTCGTATTACCAGATGAACCTGTCACAGGCACAGAAGAATATCTTCTTACGGTCAACATGGTTTCTTGTGCATGAAATTCAATATACCAATAATGTACATGTACACTGAAAATGTACCTGCACATCTACTTGCTTAAATTCATACTTGTTGTATTTTTTTGTCATCAATGTTTAAGAATTAATTGTGCTTCAGCATGTAAATTGAACCATTTGTTCACCAGATTTTCTATAATCAACTTTGATTCTTTTCTCTTCCACCTTTCTGTGTACAGTATGTAACAGCCTTTGTTGTTTCTGCATCAGCTTCAAATGTAGACAGATTTGGCAAACCTTTCAATCCACTCTTGGGAGAAACGTACGAGTTATCAAGGTAAAGTATTGGATATATACCGTATTTTAGATTTGTGTATCATGATCCTTAATCAAATACCTACATCAAACATACAAGTATGATTTCATATGATCTCTTTCGTCAGATATTGTTAAATATTATGGTTTTAATACACAAGCATGTATTTTATAGCGAATAGCATTTTCAGTCATTAATATATATGAGGGTTATAAAGTGTATCAAAGCACAAGGAGAAGGGATAAAAATGTTAATCACATATTACAAAATTATCACCCTGCATGTAATCACCAAAGTTTTTGGTTTGCAAGATTCTTCTTGTGCAATACATTACAGATATGTAGCATGAGAAGAAAGATGTAATATTGTGCTGGCCTTGCGTTATAAGCATAAACATGTATAGATTGAGGCAAATATAGATTAATGTCTTGTCAAAGGACAATAGTGATGTTATGTGTGTACTGATAATAATAAAAGTGGTCAGACATCACCTATTTTCTCAACAATAACATTGTTGGTTCTGTCAATCAAGCGCTGTGGATACTGCTATCATCCCTTCTTCTGCCACTGACGTAAAATCAGAGGATTATAATTATCGGCTCATGGATATTATCAAGTCTCGTCGTTAAAATCACTCAGCAAGAGATCCCGACGAGATGATAAATCATTAATGGATGCTCATCAGCATAAATCCAGAAAGTCTGGCATACAACATCAATTTTCTTTACTTAATTTGCCTTCAAAAAAAGGGAAGCGATTTGGAAATAAATTTTCCTTATAGTTAATGTCTTCATTTTCAGTGAGGTCTGATGGAAGCATTAAAAGGATTGGGTAACTTTGTCTCAGATTCTGAAACAAGTCCTGGATTTAGCTCATGCTGCAATGATAATTATAAACCTTTAGGTCAGTCAGGAATCCCATGACGTTTACAAGACGATCGCCCATCTGATTATCAAGATATTTATGATTGGAAATTGAAATTTTCAAAATCGCTTTCGTAACGGTTTTTATAACACTACAGTCTATTGGGGAAAATGAGTATGGTAAAACCGGTCACTCAAAGATTTTTACTTCTTTGAAGCACAATTTTTTTAGGGCTTCAATATTACACCATATCACAGACACTGATAACACGTAGGGCCATGCATCTCAGATCTAACATTGTTGAACGATGCCTTTAACGGGTGAGACTGAATGTTTGTTTCTTTCAGAGATGACATTGACACCAAGATGCTGTTAGAGCAGGTCTCCCATCATCCGCCCGTCAGTGCCTTCCACGCCAGCTCGCCTCACTTTGAGTTCCACGGTGCTGTCCATCCTAAACTCAAGTTCTGGGGCAAGAGTATGGAGGTCCAACCCAAAGGTGTCGTTACCATCAAGCTTCCAAAGTAAGTACAGTCATTTGGATCGCTATGCAGAGCTGCCAACCATTAGTTTTTCCCTGAATCATTCTGTTTTTTTTTCTCCCTATTAGGGTAGTACGTTGTTTTTAAATAAATTTTGTTTATATTTTTTTTGTTGCACGTCAACCAAATGCCCTAAAATGTTGATCACTACTTCAAAAGTAAACGAAAAAGATGAACAAAAAAGTGAAAGGCGTAAATATTCTCAAAAAGAATGAAACGCTGATAATACATTAAAAAAACATCAACAAAAAACTACCTACTTGTAAATATTATAGGTCCTAATATGGAAATATCGGCATGAGGAATGGACATTTCGGCATTGGAAGTGTGTCGCGCGTGGTTGTAAGTTTCATTTTAATGAATTCCTTTTTTTTGCTTGAAATTTCTTCTTTTTTTTTGGCATCATGGTTCCTTTTTTTGGTTGGACAAGGTTAGCAGCTCTGTTTATGTGTTAATACAACAGTGTTAATGCAGGCGAGACAGACAAGAGCGTTTCACTTGTTCTCAGTTTATACCTGTAGAGGTAACTTATGCAGCTCTTTAAACCAATCAAGAGGAAAAAAATATATCGGGTTCCTCTACAATGTCATACACCTACCAGTAATTTGAAGGAGAAGGAATATGATTGCTCTTGGGTGGGTGTTGGTGTGTTTGTTAACAGTGAACAGGACATACGTCCACTTATATTCTTAGAGAAATCTACTACCGTACCTGCATTTTCTACAATCAAGGATAAATCAATTATGACACTAGTGAATCGATGGAGAGGATTAATGGGATACACAAATATTATGTTAGCATTTCTGATCTTTTCATGTACTCAAACTTCCTGTAAGGTTAGAGTTCCTGTTAAAAGATTTTTCATTGGGGGATGGATATGACTTACACTTTTTTACAGGAAATACCCTTTTCACATTTTTGAAGCCATTTAATAAACCTGCAAGCATTTACATCTTTCAAACTGTTTATAAATATATTTTTTACTTTTACCTAATATTCTACTTTCATATATAAACAGTTGTGTACAGCTTTCAACTGTATATAATAAAAGAACATGAAATGTTTACTATGTCATGAAGGGAAAACCTGAGTACATTCTCTGATAGTTTTTTTTTTTTTTAATTCTTCCCTCCCCCCTCTTCTTTTCTGTTAAATTGTTAACAATGTTTATGTTATTTGCTTGCTCAACATACATGTTAAACCAACACATGATATCCAGTTACAAAAAAGTGTTATAGTCTGCTAAGTTTGCCTCGTCAGTGCTCATAAGCAACATTTATTGGTTCTATCCGATTCCTCAGAATTATCTCCCCACATATAGACCCTCAATGACAAGTTTATGGGAGGGACTTGACAATTGTATAAATCAATGTTTGTAGGAGAGTTTTAACGATTTATAGGGTAAATATATACATTGCCTGATTCGACCCACATACCTTCACACAGTGACCTATGACCTTTCGGTTGCCCTTGAAATGATAAGGTTGCCACTGCATCTTTAGCAATTAGACTTTATACAGACCCTCGTTTAGTCTAAACTTTGTGCTGTAGAGCTGAACATACATGTACATTATTGTGATAATGAAAATATGGATTTATAGAGCTTTTGCCTGAGGCTACAAAGCACTAATACCATTATTGCACATGATTCACTACTCATTTCAAGTACATAGCTGTTGTGAATCTTGTTGAGGTTTGACACAATACAATTTACTGGTACTTTGATGTTATGTCAAATTAGGCCATTTAAAAAAATATACATGTTTAGCGTCCCCGCCCGCTTCCTTTTTGGGGGCCGCCTCCTTTATCTTTTTTTTTTTTGTTGAAATTTTTGATTTTTTTTTTTTTTTTTTTTTTGAAAAAAAAATTTTTTGAAAGAAAAAAAACATGAAAAACACTGCTAAAATGGCTCTATTACTGATAAAAAAATTAAAAAAATTGTCGGCGGCCATCTTGAAAAAAATAGCCCCGACTGTCAGGGAAAATGTACCGAGCGGCCATTTTGAGCGGCCATTTTGAAAGAAAAAATAAAAAGGGCCTCCTCCTTCCTATTTTTCAAAAAAACAGGACGCTAAACATGTTTTTTTTTTAATTTGGCCTTAGAGGCTGTCTTTACAAACTAACCAGTGCAAAGTATTTTGTAATGGTACTAGATGTACTTAGTTGTTTGATTTTGTGTCAACTGTGTATTTCTTTCTTTTTTCATAAACCTTGTTAGTATAATTAATTGGTACTTTTTATTAATTGGTACTTTTTATTAATTGGTATTTTTCGCATGGATCCTCTCACCCCCTCTTTTTTGAGAAATATTCCACAACCTCTCGGACAAAATGGGAACACAAAATAAAATATAGGTAAAAATAGTGGCATTTAAGTCTTTGTGTATTCCTGAATCACAACACTTCATTCTCTTTTTAATAAAGCCATGCAAGGGAGATAAACTTGCTTTTATTTTTATATTTCTTTAACTGAAGTTCTCAGTGAGTCCACAGTAAATAAAAATGCTACATACACTGTACTTGTACCAAGATGATGCAGCACCTTGTACCCCTTTTGTTTATGTCTGAGAGAGCATATGCCACTGATGCATAGGTTAAAGTCCATTCTTACCAAGAACATGAACTGGCGTTGTATGATGTTAGATTTATTAAATCTGAAAACACATTAGTTGCTTAGCAACAATGCTGCAGTTTAGACCACTTTGATCTAGTGGTATCAATATGAAGTCTGTCCTCTACCAGTGAAATCGTTTCACTCTTACAGTTAACAGCTAAATTATATTTGTGTGTTTTGTAACTCAAAAATGAAAGGTGAACTGGTTGGATTAGGTCCTTTTTGTATACTTTCAGGTTTGTAAGCTTCAATATGTCACATTCTCAAGAGACATAAATTGGGACAAATCTAATTTTCAAAACTTGGGAAGGGTATGAATAACTATTTCTTGACTGTAAAAAACATTTGTCATGTTCCGCTTTTTTTTTTTAATATGAGACATGAATTTTACACTATTTACAATGTTCCAAAATTTGTGTTTATTATCACTTTTGGGACACTTGGTACAACATTACTTGAAATTAGTTCACACTGAAAGCCAATCAACGCTTCAATTTACGTTTTTTAACACAGACATGGTGAATCATAGACATGTGTGTTCATCATCTCAATGTGGGCAGACTCTGGATAGGGCAGTACAGCACACTAGAAATCTTCAGTTCATACTTAATACTGTCTAACGTTTTCATTCACGTTTCTTTCCTGTTTTATCACAGACATGGTGAATCGTACACCTTTCACAACGTCCTGATGTTTTTTCATCATCTCATTGTGTGTAGACTCTGGATAGAGCAGTACGGCACACTAGAGATCACCTGTTCACACCAAAAGCTAATCAGCGCTACTTTTTATGTTTCTTTTATCACAGACATGGTGAATCGTACACCTTTCACAACGTCCTGATGTGTGTTCATAATCTCATCGTGGGTAGACTCTGGATAGAGCAGTACGGCACACTAGAGATCACCTGTTCACACCAAAAGCTAATCAGCGCTTCTTTTTACGTTTATTTTATCACAGACATGGTGAATCATACACCTTTCACAACGTCCTGATGTGTGTTCATAATCTCATCGTGGGTAGACTCTGGATAGAGCAGTACGGCACACTAGAGATCATCAATCACAAGACGGGGCTCAAGAGTGTTCTTAACTTCAAACCGGCTGGCTGGTTTGGTCGGGATCTCCACAAAATTGAGGGTCATATCTCAGACAAGCAGTAAGCAAACATAACTACTTTTCTTTTCTTTCTTTTTTTCAACTCAGTTTCTATAGCATTATGCATGAAAGGTTGTATTAAATTGTTTCCCTTCTGATAAAAGCAACATGTTAACTATTGGTAGAGGGGGATAGGACCAGAAAATAAGTGATAGCTCCTTAACAAGACTTGCCAGTTATTTTAAGACAGGAAATGTTGCTTTTTAAACTAATTTTTTTTAATTGCCAATATAGAAAGCCAACAGAAAACCTTTCAATGGCAATAGACCAGTTCATGGTTAGCACATGGCTGCAATGACCCCGAATATCCACAGATCTTCAAAACATGAAGAGGTCCCACTTTGTACATTTTGAAATAATCACCCCTACAGCGATGGAGATGCTACATACTTAGCTTTTGTTTCCCCTTTTCAAAGAATACTTCCACCTGTGTATCATGGAGTGCTCTGCTTGTACATAAATGAATAGTGATTACATAACTTTCATGAGCACGTATCCAGTATTCCGTCCCCATGTATTTCACAATTTGTTCTACAATTACCTTTATGTGAACTGGCTTATACAATCCTTTCATTGCCAATTTTGAACAAAAAGATATTGGTGTACAGGTATGTATGATGTTAGGTAAGGTCTGTTTTGAGCTTGAAATGAAGTCACTTGGGCCTCCTTTTTTTAGTAGACTCATACAAGTTTGGACCAAGTTAATTTGGGTTAAACCGTATTAAAGTAGGGGCTCAGACAGAATATATGAGCAGCGTAATGCAAAGTCCATACTTTGAACCAAGTACCTGACATATTGTGTCGTCTTCTGTATTCCAACAGGGGGAAGAAGCTGTGCTATCTGTATGGCAAGTGGACAGAGTACATCTGCGCTGTTCAGAAAGATACTCCTGAAAGCAGGAAGGAGGAGAAGAAGAGGAAAGGAAGAGCAAGTGTATCAGAAAAGGTACGTGAGGAGAGGGACGATTGGAAGGAGAACAGAAAATTGAATCAATGTTAGTCGTGTGTTGAGCTGTATTGTCTTGTGAGCAATAAGTTGCGTGTTTCATGGAAGTTGCTTTTGCTGCAGTATTTTCATGTACACTTTTTGACTTGACCAAACTAATTTGAAAAGTATTACACAATATTAAAGTGATCAAATAGATGATTTACAGCAGGTTTCATACAGCCTCAAAACATGCGACTCTGTCTGTGTGTTAGTGTCTGTGTGTAGAAAATACAAAACAATTTTTTGAATGAAGAAGCAATTCCAAAACCCAGGTACAATATTAGATCTTCTCTTCTCCAAGATCAGGGGGGTGTTTCACAAAGATCTTAAGTTAAACTTATTTCTAAGTTGGACTTAATAATTATGGAAAGCCGTTAGCATCTATGAACATATTTTGCAAAAGTTGTTTTAAAAGGCACAAAATATTGAATCAAATCATTCATATTTTCTATTATCAAGGAGATTTCATGTTCTTGACATGGAATTTATAAAAAGTCTATAATACTTTTTCGCTTTTGAATATATTTTGTTTTAAGGCTACAAATGGCTCTCCATAATTTTGAAGTCCAACTTCGAGTTAAGTTTGACTTAGGATCTTTGTGAAACGCCCCCTTAGGAATAGAATCCACCCCTTTGCCCTCCCTTGATACTCCTGTAAGATAGTTTGGTCTCTCTCCACACTATCATCAGAGTCCTCCAAGTTCACCAGGAGCAGGGAGTGATCCAGTCGGCGATGGACCAGACAAGGACTCTCAGATCTTATGGCAAAATCTAACCAGGCCTGAAGAATCATCACAAGTATGTATAGAAACCATGAAAACATGTGTAGAAACAGAGCTGCCAACCATTATGTTTTTCCCCGAATTATTCTGTTTTTTTCCTACAATTTTTTTTTTTTTCTTCTTTTTTTACATACTGCACATCAAACAACTGCCCTAAAATGTTGATTTGATCACAAATTCAATAGAAAACTAAAGTTAAACATACTCGAAGAAACAAATATTCACAAAAAGAATGACACTGACCATTCGTTTGCAGTTCATTTTGTAACTTATTCGCTGTGACGCAAGGGCAAGGCAGACAACAAGAAAGTAGTATCTTCAAGCTCATGATCTGAGAGCAGGCACTTGCTCGAGGAAGAAAGGTGGATTTTGAAGAGTCTCTCTTGGGTTGGATGTTTTTGACTTAGAAGTTGATTTTTAATAAAGACAGCTTGCCAAAGTTGAGCACTTGGGCCTTACCTTACTCTACTGGGCTATTTTTTCCTAATATGCAAATTTTTGTCGTTATAGCCTAATTAATTTTGCAAAATGCTAATTTTATGCATTTTACAGAAAACTCTTCATATTTGTCTGTAGACTTGTGAAGAATGTTGAAAATGTATTGAATAAATGTTTCCTTCATGTCAAATTCATGAGGTTACATTATTTTTATGATATTTGAAAATGCATCGGTTAATTTGCATAAATTATGAATACGCATTCATGAATATCAAATCTGGAAATATACAGGGAACTAGAATGATTACAAAAATTGTCAGACTCCACTTTTTGAATGTTAATTGAAACCCATTATTCATATGAAACTTCTTTTCTAACACAAAATAGTTATTTTGATGTAATTAATAATGATAATTAATGCAAATTTGATGCGATTTTCTAATATTCATTTTCTTTTTGTATTTTATTGTTTTTTATTTCTTATTTTATCTATTGTTTTATTTCTAATGTATTCTTTTGTTCTGGAATACATCAAGTTACTTTGAGAAACATATAAAAGCAAAACTTAGGAAGAAATACATCTAAACCTGTATTCACGTTTCTGCTTGTACATGAATATATGCAATTATAGCATATTTTTGATGACATGTGCATACTAATTGTTATGTAACACCTTAAAGCTTATCTGCCATAGTTTACAGGAGGGATTAGACCGCCCTACAAGGTCACTGGACAGGTGGTTATCTCATCAACTCAGCTCTCAGTTAACATAAGAAAAAGAGGATCATGGGGGAGCAATGGTCACTGATTAGGCATTGTTTGTTGTGAGAGGGCGCAAGTAGCTACAAGTAGTGCAGTGGGCCTTTAAAGGTATATCAGATTTCAAAGAAATGGTATCAAAATGTGTGTAAGACTTGGGGGAAAAAAGTAATGAAACGACATTTGATTTCAAAATTCCAAGCGGTTGCGGCGCAATCTTTGAAAATGTCGAGGGGGGGCCCCCCCCCCCCCTCCCAGTACAGTAAGGGTTAAGAAGTTAAGTCTATGTTTCACTAGCCATTGACTTCAATGGGGTGTTATGTGGAGTTAAGTCTTTGTGTTCCCTGGAAAGCCCACAAAATATGGAGTTATGTCACTAAACCCTTGATATTAGCGTTGTGTTGTAGAGATCAAGATACCACTCTTGACTTAATTGATTTTCATCATTTGTTGCAGTACTATTCCTTCACATCATTTGCAATGAGACTCAACGAAATCGGCGAAGGAACGAAGCAAGCACTACCATGTACCGACAGCAGGTTGAGACCAGACATCAGATTATTAGAAAATGGTGACATAGGTAAGCATAAACAATTCCTCACTTACTCTGAGTTTGGTTGAAGGGCTTTGCCGAAGCTAGACACATTTTCTTCTTCTTCTTCCTTCCTCTTCTTCCTCCTTTTCCTCTTCTTCCTCATCTCTCTCTCTTTCTCTTTCTTCTCTCTTTCTCATGTGATACATAATGGTTTTAGTGAGTAAGATTCAAGAAGGAAGAATATTTTGGCCTTTTCTGATGTTTTAAAAAGTCCTCCAATATGAGAAGAATCTGGTATACCAATCAATGCACAGTCAGCAGACATACTTGAATTATCACACCTATTAGTACATTTCTCTACAAAATCAATGATTTCAACATTCAGCACAGCTTACAATGAGTAGCTATAGCAGTGGACCTTAATAATAATAATAGCTAGTTCTTATAAAGCGCTTTTCAGAACCGAAGACCCTCTTAAAGCGCTTTTAAATATATATATATATTTATATTATTACCCCGGTCATCGGATTCAGGCTTACCTACACACAATGTATGCACATTCTCCACTCCTTAGGGAGCATTCCAGCCAGGCGTCATTTTTACAAGCGCACACTTACTAATCTAAGCACATTAGCATTAGCATCCTACCGGGTGACTATTTAACACCTGGCTGGAGAGTGGCAATTGTAGATTAACATCTTGCCAAAGGATATTAGTGCCGCGGTGGGACTTGAACCGTGGACCTTGTGATCCACAGTCCGCCACGCTGCACTCTGCACAGTGACTGAGACTAACAGGAGTTTGAGCTTTGAAACTGATAACCACCTCTCTGTACATGTTATTTTAAACAGATGGAGCATCATCTGAGAAACACCGTCTTGAGGAGAACCAGAGGGCGAGGCGGAAGCACCGGAATAAGAGCAAAGAGACCTGGTCTCCTCTCTGGTTTAAGGCTGATGTCAACAGCTTGACCGGGGAACAGGACTGGCTCTACAAGGGCACCTACTGGGACAGGAACTACTCAAGCTGTCCAACTATATTTTGAAGTGCAGGTGAACCTGTGTAGAAAGACTGCCCAAGGGAATAGGTAAACGTGGCCGATCTTTATGGACAGGTTGTTCATATTGTAGAGAAAGTAGAAACCTGAATGGTCTTTATTGGAAGGGTATCATAATATTTTCAATGTAGGTGCTCCTGTGTAGGGGAGGGTGGTGGTAGGGGGGGGGGGCTTTCTATTAGAATCAAGAAAAAGTGTTCTTAATAGACAGGTTGATGTAAAGAAGAAGATCCCTAATGGAGAATAAGAAAAGGAGCCTCTGTAGACAGGTGACCTACACTGCCAAGAGATATCTGACAGGGATAGACCATTAAAGGGAAACAAGAAAAGTGGCCTTTTTATGCAGGTTGTACATATCACTGGCTTAAATTAATCAAAATAAAAAATCATGATGGTTTGTGATTACTAGATAGAGCTATGAGTGTTCAAGGAAATAAATTTCTTCAATTAAGAAGTCTTTGGCCAGGTAAGAACAAGCATAAATTATGAGGGAAAAGCATTCTTCAATCTGACCAGTAGGCCATTATAATCTGAGACTGATGCCTTCTCCTGTATTCATTAACTTGTTATTGTATTTCCAGAGTTTGATTGCAGACTGCATTCATTTACTGTACATGTAGATGTTGTAAGGTATAACAAGCCATAATATTTGCCTAACCTAGCACACCTCAATTGTGTGATCTGCAATCTGACTTTTGAAATACAAACAATCGCTACAGGTGAATGCACTCATAATCTCATCACTAGGCAAAGATTTGCCAAATGAAAATGCCCCTTCATTCTATGTTGGGGGAAAATTGCTAGGATTCAGGTTACAAATTGTGGCATTATCATGAATTAGCGACATGTACAAAACAAGGGATGTTCACTGTTAGACGGATGATTTGACAGTAGACCAGTTCACGGTTAGCACATGTCCCAAATGACCCCGAATATCCACAGATCTTCAAAACATTGTACATTTTAAAATAATAACTCCTACGGCGATGGAGGTGCTACATACCTAGCCTTTGTTTCCCCTTTTCAAAGAATACTTCTACCTGTATATCATGGAGTGCACTGCAGGTGCATAAACAAATAATGATAACATAACTTTCATGAGCACGTATCCAGTGTCTCTGTGTATTTCACACTTTGGTCTGCAACGACCTTTATCTGCTCATGCTCAGACTGCAACTATGAACTGGCTTTTTGATTAAGATTTGTATTGATGTGCACCACTACTTGTTGTACAAGAACTGCTATCAGTCTTAACTGGATGTGTGAGACTCAAAAGTAAATTAGTTTTTCACTACTCTCATATTATGTAATGGAACTGTTATTGTGTAAAATTAGTTTATTGATACACTGGAACTTTTGTTCATGACTACAATAATGAAGTTTTCTCTGTCACTTTAGAAAACATTTTGTACAATGTAGGAACATTTCAATTCAAGTTTTTCCTGTATTTGCAAAAACAGATAGAAGGCCGTGTAATATTGCATGCACTGCACATATCTTTATGGTGTTAAATTCTACCTCAGAAAGAAACGAAATTAAAGCACTTTGTACAGCTGTTTTTGACTAGGCCTTCGAAATGATTTTATATGGAACATTTGTTCTCTTCTCTTGGGTACTATATTGAAATTGTTGGGACCAAATTTTGGATATTGATGGAGAATTTTCCCTCGTCTTAGCTTTTGCGGCAACATTGTGCATGCGATTCCTACCATACTTGTTTCCAATTCATGCCTTCAATTATTAATTATAATAGGAATGTCTGGAAATTGCTGATATGGCGATTTATTGGAGATGAATAGTTTTGAATCACAAACCATAAATTTTCCCTCGTCTTAGCTTTTGCGGCAACATTGTGCATGTGATTCCTACCATACTTGTTTCCAATTCATGCCTTCAGTTATTAATTATAATAGGACTGTCTGGAAATGGCTGATATGGCAATTTATTGGAGATGAATAGCTTTGAATCACAAACCAAAGATGCTTTAAATGCTAGAAAATTGAATGATATTTACGGTTAGACAAATTATATTGACAACTTCCATAATTTTTCTCCTCCTTCACCCCCCCCCCCCCCCCCCCAAAAAAAAAAAGGAAAAAAAGGTGTGTTTGCATAAAGATTGTCATGGGATAGGTTGTCGCCTAAAATGCAACCATTTGCCTTTAATTTTTTAATTGTACAGTACATATTTTGTCATAGCAGTAGTAATATTCAGGTCTATCAACATCATGAACACATATATTTGTTATCTATGGTTTCTCTTTGCTTTATGTATAATTAAGAAACTCGGATGCAGCTCTATAATCTGTTGTATAAACTTTTTTTTTTTTCATTTTTAAAAATATATTCATTTTTTGGTGAGATTATGTGGCAATATATGTGCTTCCTTTAATTTATTTGAAAAGATATGTTGGGGAAATGTACCGATGTATGTGCTAAATTTGATTGCTTATTTTGTAGCCAGATACCGAGTGCTAGGAGGGCACTCAAGATGTTAAGTGCCAGAAGGTGTGTTATCTATGTGTTTAGGATTTTAAAAGCCTCTGGAAAGCAGTATTTACAGGTCATACAGTGTATTTAAAGACATTACCCATCCCTATGCTCATTTGATTCAGAACACATTCTTCAAGACAAATTAGTTCTTCGTTGTTACAGTTTGTAGTGGTACTCAAGCAATGTTTGAATAACTGCAGTAACTCTTTCTAAACAAGGTTAGAACTTGCAATACCTTAATAATTTATTGAGAAGTGTTATTACAGGATAGATGGGAGTGCTTTGTCTTTTTTCTTGGGAACATTCAAAATTATGGAGAAATGCAAATTTGTTTTCGTTTAATGACGGCATCTTTAGGAGCCAGGAGGATGTTTGTAGTTTTTTTTTAATTCTAGATATTTGTAAATATCAAGAAATTGAAGTTATGAATGTACATCCTAAGATCGAGCTTAGACTTTTTTTAATCCAAGTAGTCATCGACATGTGCATAAAAGTTGCATTCAGTTTTGTATTTGAAACATTATCAAGATACCTATTTTGTAGGTGAATATGGAATAAACTACATTCACTTTAACAATCATTGTAAGTTTAGTAATGAAATAAGTGACATCAGCAAAAGAAGGATTGAACCATTTGCATTATTTAACATCCACCTAAACGAAAAGTATGCTTGTGTTATGAGAAAAAAAATTGTCATACTCAATACACTGTAGGCATTTGAAAGGTACACTGCCAATCTGAACCTGTGTACAAGGGTCTCCACTCTCTAGAGGATACTTAAACATTCACCTGTGTGGAAAGTTAACCTTTTTGTAACAGGTGCACTGATATTTCATTTATAACACTGACCTTTGTAGACAAGTACCTTATCTATAAATGGGATCGCTATTAACAGTATGGATTGTTATTGGGTATATTATGAACAATATTATAACAGGTGTCATAGGGTGGTCACAAGATAGCAAGAAGCCCATCTAATTTGAATTTGCCCTGCTTGATGATGTCAGACTGTTGTGAGTGTTGGATGGAAGAAAACAAATTATCTGTAAAATGATATACATGTGTATGATAAAAGAGATGCGGTTCTTGACTGCTCATTAGTCCAAAGCAATAGGTACACAAATCAACTGAAACTTGATATCATCTTTTAAAAGCCATATTACAGGGCATTAACTCTGTTCAATGCTATGCTACATGTATGAGTTTGTGCTCGCCTGGCTTTCAGCAGATGATATTACATGTTTGGGTCTATGGAAACCTGGGCCCTGCCTTATAATGAGTTGCGACTGATCAAAATCAATCACAAGTTTTCAGTCTCCTATCTCATTTGTACAAAGTTTCAATCGATGTCAATCGCAAATAAATTTGGATTAATCGCAACAGTTTATAAGACAGGGCCCAGGCCGTAAGAAATTTGCACATTTGAACTGCAAAGTCAAACTTGCATTGGACTAATGGGCAGTCCCCCTTTCATTAGTCTATAGAAATGATGGGAATATTTGCAATCATGTATTTATCTTTTGTATCTTCGTGCTAATTGGTATCCAAAATGCCTGTATAATTTCATACCAATAATTTGTATATTGTGGCATTTTTTATAGAAAAAAATAAACATGTATTGAATGTTATTGAAGAGAATTGACAGCTGATTGCAATGAATGTAGAATGGCATGTATTCACATTAATATGTAGATCATTACTGATGGTTTGCTCATATTTTGGAGTATTGGCAAAAGTTTATGTAAGGTGATATATGTAATGCTGAGCTTCATAATTTATGTATAATAATAATTATGCCATCTATTGATGAGCAGCACTCGATGCGACTATATCTTGTGTCTGTAAACTCATATTGGAGTGTTGAAATTTGGATCTACTTTCAGCCTTATATAGCTGCCTGCCGTTCGTTTTAAAGAAATAAATAGATGAATTCAGTCCACTAAGTATTGTAGAGAGGGACTGTCGGTGAAAAAAAATGGTTGCTAACTGTTTCACTATTATATTATTACTATTATTATTATTACTACATGTATTATTAGTATTAATGATAATATTATTAATAGTATCACATGTATTATTATTAGTCTGAATATTATTATAATTATTATTATTGTTATTACTTTCATTATTAAGACGTATGTAGACAGGGTAGCCCATCAATGACATGCACTGTTCTCACAGGGGCACTGTTTAAAGAAAAGAATATGATACAAATGCAACCACAAAAAAAGAGAAAGTGAGTCAATATTATTAACGTAGGCCTACATAGTTGAAACCAAGTAGAATAGCTACATGTATGACCATCAGCCAATCACTATTGAGTATAAATAATCGACTCTGATTGGTCGAGACTGTGACCTCTAAGGTTATGTGTAGGTCAGTTTAATCATAATCTGTTTGGCGCCAGAAGGGTGTTAACTCATATTACATTTAAGACAGACTCTACGCCCTTTTCGCTTTGAACAGATGATATCATCCTTAAGTAACTGCCAAGTTTGGGGTATACATAATTTACAAATATCTTATAGTGTGTCGATAGATTTCTTTGTCAACGAATAGTGATGTGATATATTATTTGAGAGGGAGGATTGCGATGCGATTATAATGACCATACATTCAAATTTTCTTACTATTTTGTAGAAGACGGTATGTAGTCTTTGACGACAAAGGTATATTTAATAAATGTGAACATCTATAATAAACTTGGAGTGAATGTTGTTTCTATCTGTGTCAAGTCAAAAAGTCTACCGGTCTATCTGCAAACACCCTTTTATTTTTGAGGAATGAACTAAGATATATATTCACATTTTTAAAGCAAATAAACTCGGTATGTTAATTGTATTACCAATTAAGTAATTCACATACTTGTTACTAGTATGATATTAAGAACAAGCACGTATGTATAACAGAAAAATGCTTTTAATTTAACATGTGTTGAAACACGTCAATATGGAAGGCAATAGTATATTGGGATTGGAAATATGGAATTACTCTTGTTTTTTTAAGCTATCTATATCTGTTATTGTATTTTGGGTCCCCGGGTCATCATATTAGTTGAAATTGATTTCACAAGCAAGTGACCGCTGGAAAGATTTGATGCGTTTTCCAGTTTGGCCAATTTTCCCGACACACTTCAATCTGGGGCATAGCGACAAGACTAGCTCTTTGTAAAGTATTAATCGTGACCGAACATGATATTTAGATCAAATTTCTCTTTGCTATTTCCCCTTGTGATTTTCTCTTTGTTTCTCTATTTGGGGGCAAAACATTAGTGTTTGTTTATCGTCTCCGATCTGTCTTTCTTGACAGTCGGTGCATATTCTAAGATGTATTGGTGTTTTCTATAAGGCCTCCTGCATGCACTGTCCCGACTCTCTTTACGACATTTAATGACGGTTTAATTTTTGTATACAAACACAATATAGAGCATAATAATTATCTACGTAAAGCTCCCCTAAATTGTGGCCCAGAAATATATTCGATCTTTGATCACAGACTACACGAAAAGGGAAAGTATGCGAACGCATTTATTTTCATTTAAAGTTTCTGTGTTTTTTTTTTTTTTTTTTTGTTAAGATAGTAATTTCTTCCCCCTAAAATTATCATTACTTTCTGCCAGCTGTTTCAAATGAATTGATTCATCACTAGATAATAATAGCGTACCTGAAAGTTGCGATTTTGTTTGATCTAAAATTGTCAGTATTAAGGAAATACAAACACCTTAAAATTATATAAATAGTACAAAGATTATACGTCTGTTGATGGAGAGACGGTGCTTACGTGTATATACAAATCATAATGCGGATGAAATGGTGACACTTCTGGTGCACTAAGAATTGTAATTAGCATTATAATTTCTTAATAGACGATCGAGACTTCACACAGTTATAGATCTCACCACTGGTCACTCCAATTTACAACTGCGTGTACATAATAGCAAGAAGAGAAGGTCATTGTTATACAGACAGTCAGGCGCGGATCCAGGGGGGGGCCGAGCGGGCCTTGGCCCCCCCCCCCCCCGGCAAAAAAAAAAAAAAAAAAAAGAGAGAAGAAAGGAAAAGAAGGGAAAGGGAAAGAGGAGAGAAAGGGAAAGAAAGAAGAGGAAGAAGAAAAGAAAAGGGGGAAGAAGGAGATCGGGGGGGGGGGCGAAAGGGCCTTGCCTCCCAGGCTGTTGCCCCCCCAATCAAAAAATAATAGAGAAGGAAGGAAAGGGAAAGAAAAAAGGAAAATAGGAGATACTGGTGTACTGATAGAGGGGGGGGGGGGCTTGGGGGAAATCAAATTCAAACGTGTTTTATTTCTAATTCCATAATTGTGGATTACAAATAATGCTGAAATTACATAATTTCCGAGATTTTTTCTCACTTTTTAGTAAATTTAGTAAAACAAGATTTTTTTATGCATTTGTTGGAAAATGACAAATTCCTAAATTTACAGCCAGGCAAGAAATATGATTCTTGAGATTCCTACATGTCAGGGCCCGAGGAACGGCGGGAATTGGGAGCCTCGAGCCCCCCCCCCCCCCACACTTTAACAAAAAAAGTATATTAAAGAGAAATTAAAAAAAGAAAGAGAGCAAGAAAGAAAGAATAGTTAACTGCCAGTGTTAACAAATAAAGAGGCATCAAAATATGATCATCTGACCGTGATTAAATGCCTAAAACCCCTAAGCTTCCGGGGGATCTACCCCCTGGATTCCACCTAGGGCCCTAAGGTGGGCCCTTCGATGCTCATCTGACGGTTATTTAATGCCTAAAACCCCTGATTTTGGGGGGCTCCGCCCCCTGGATCCCACGCCAAATAGTGTCCTGCCAGTGACACAAAATAATAAGGATTATAAAAAATGCTCATCTGACCGTAATTAAACGCCTAAAACCCCTGAGCTTCCGGGGCTCTGCCCCCTGGATTCCACCTTGGGCCCTAAGACGGGCCCTTCGATGCTCAGTTGACGGTAATTTAATGCATAAAACCCCTGATTTTGGGGGGCTTTGTCCCCTTGACCCCACGCCTAAGTGTCCTGCCAGTGTGACAAAATAATAAGGATTATAAAAAATGCTCATCTGACCGTAATTAAACGCCTAAAACCCCCGAGCTTCCGGGGGCTCCACCGCCTCGACCCCACCAGGGGCCTGAAGGCGGGCCCCTGAATGCTTGTCTGACCGTAATTTATTGCCTTAAACGTCTGAGCTTCTGGGGTCGGACAAGGTATCAAAATGTGTTAATCTGACCGCAGGCGCGTAGCCAGGGGGGCGGTGGGGGCGGTACCCAAACAATCACCGCCCCCACCCCCCTAAAAAAAGAAAGAGGAGAGAAAAGGAAGAGGACGTAGAAAAAAAAAGGAGCAGACAAAGAACATCTTTAAAATTCAGACAAAGATTAGTGTAGAGAACGGTACAACGCATCGTCTTCTTTCTCTAATAATTTAATGAAACGTAAAAGCCCCCGCGCTTCGCGCGGGAGGGGGGAAACTGAACTCAGACGAGGATTAAGCATCGAGAACGGTACAACGAATCGTCTTGTTTCTCTAATGATTTAAAGAAATGTAAAAGCTTCCGCGCTTCGCGCAGGAGGGGGGGGGTGGGACTGAATTTAGATAAGAATTAAGAGTCGAGAACGGTACAACGAATTGTCTTCTTTCTCTAATGATTTAATGAATCGTAAAGGTTCCGCGCTTCGCGCAGGAGGGGTTGGGGGGTTGGGACTACATTTAGACAAGAATTAAGAGTCGAGAACGGTACAACGAATCGTCTTCTTTCACTAATGATTTAATGAATCTTAAAAGCTTCCGCGCTTCGCGCGGGAGGGGGTAACCTGTATTCAGACGAGGATTAAGAGTCGAGAACTGTACAACGAATCGTCTTCTTTCTCAAAAGTTTTAATGAATCGTAAAATATTCCGCGCTTCGCGCAGGAGGGGCCGGGGGTGGGGGGGGGGCGGTGAAAATGAATTCAGACGAGGATTATTTTCGAGAACGGTACAACGAATAGTCTTCTTTCTCTAATGATTTAATGAATCGTAAAAGCTTCCGCGCTTCGCGCGGGAGTGGGTAACCTGTATTCAGACGAGGATTAAGAGTCGAGAACTGTACAACGAATCGTCTTCTTTCTCTAATGATTTAATGAATCTTTAAAGCTTCCGTGCTTCGCGCAGGAGGGGCCGGGGGGGGGGGGAGCGGTGAAAATGAATTCAGACGAGGATTATTTTCGAGAACGGTACAACGAATAGTCTTCTTTCTCTAATGATTTAATGAATCGTAAAAGCTTCCGCGCTTCGCGCGGGAGGGGGAAAACTGAATTCAGACGAGGATTAAGAGTTGAGAAATGTACAACGAATCGTCTTGTTTCTCTAATGATTTAATGAATCATGAAAACTTCCGCGCTTCGCGCGGGAGGGGGAAAACTGAATTCAGACGAGGATTAAGAGTCGAGAAATGTACAACGAATCGTCTTGTTTCTCTAATGATTTAATGAAACGTAAAAGTTTTCGCGCTTCGCGCGGGAGGTGGGAACCTGTTTTCAGACGAGGATTAAGAGTTGAGAAATGTACAACGAATCGTCTTGTTTCTCTAATTATTTAATGAAACGTAAAAGTTTCCGCGCTTCGCGCGGGAGGGGTGAACCTGAATTCAGACGAGGATTATTTTCGAGAACGGTACTATGAATCGTCTTCTTTCTCTAATAATTTGATGAAACGTCAAAGCTATCGCGTTTCGAGGAGGGAGGGGGAAACTCGCCCCTCCCTGCACCCACCCCCCCCCCGCATTACGTCACTGCTGGTCACCATTACGTTCCAATTTTTGGCTCGCATAATTTCAAATTTGGGCCCCCCCCCCCCCCCTAAGAAATCCTGGATCCGCGCCTGCAGACAGTCGCCGTTCTATTGTTCCGTTTCACAGTCCCGGTAATCAATATTATATTATGAGAATATTATGAAAAAAAATACGCGGATACATGTCAGTGTAGTCTCCTCCGGCGATCTGGCATTGCAATCATAGGACTAACACACACGAGACAGTGAGTGCTCGGAGTATGTATGCACATGTAGCGCTTTTGTAGCATTCCCGCGCTGACAGAATTTGTGTAAAAGTGTCGTCTGCCTGTATCTTACGCGATTTTACGGAATGATCTGCCGCCTTCGCCTTCGGTGGGTACTATAGGTCATAACATATAAAGGTAAGTTAATACAACCATCACGCTAAAACGCATGTTATCATCATGTATTATGTATTTGAGATGGGGACTGTGTAATAATGTATGTATACGTGTATATTTCGCATTATCTGATTGTATTTTTGCTTGATTCTTGCATTTGGAGGGTGAAGAGCATTATGATCAAAAGGCATTTACTCGTTTAACGCGCGCAGGGGCGAATATAGTGGATCGAGCTCAACCTGTATTGCCAAGTGCATTGTGCACAATCGGAGACACGCAGACTTGAGACATTTTGAGCATCCACGTTAATCATAAGTGATATGTGTATTATGCGGATATATTGTACTAAAATGCATGTTACATGAAGATCCGCATGTCTAATTGATAAATAAATATTGGAGTATGTGTATTCAATCGTGTTACTTTCTGTTTGTGCTTTCTATTTTTAATATCATTAAGGTTTTGTTTCGCGTTGAACGGCCAAGGATCATTTTTTTAATTTCATGACTCATGCGTCAATCATCTTGTATTCATCTTATTACGCCCCTCCCCCTCTCTTTCGAGGGAAGTCATGTTGTCAATATTAATTACTCTACACATTATTCAAAACCCTTATCACTCTTTGCACGTGAATTGAATAAAAAGTAAGTCTCAGAGGGGACCCTAATAATTACAAGCTCTGCTTTTACCAGGGTCTCCTCGTCTTTCTTTTAGTTAGCTATGTTTTTTATCATTATCATAATTTGTTATTTTGCTTTGTAAATGTGTTATGATCCAATGTTATGCTCTGTATGTCATTTGAAAGAAAGACGAATAAAATCTTATCTTATCTTATCTTATCTAAGTTGCATCTATCTTATCACCACTATCGAACAGTAGATGATTTCTTGTACATTTTGTGATAACATCTTCCGTAAACGATTTCACAATAATCTATTTTTGGATGTGACGCTCTCGATGAGACACGGGAAGTAAGGTCTGGGAGCCATTGCAGTGGCGGATCCAGGATTTTCCAATAGGGGGGGGGGGGGGGGGGGGGGGGGGGGGGGGGGGGGGGGGGGGGGGGGGGGGGGGGGGGGGGGGGGGGGGGGGGGGGGGGGGGGGGGGGGGGGGGGGGGGGGGGGGGGGCAAAATATGAAAAGCGGCGCCGACCAATATTTCGCTTAGTGGGGGGGGGGGTGGTATTAGTGAGCATAATTTTGTTTTCCTTCTTCATTTTTGCCTCGTTGAAATGTGAAAATCGCGCCGGTTAATATTTTGCTCACAAAAGACATTTTCAAGCCTTTTATTTTGAGGGAAGTTCTATCTTTCAAATACCTTTTAGATATCCCGTCTCTCCTTGTTTTCACGAAGTGACGGTAGTGAGGAAAATCGTAACGCAAAGTGAATGCAATTTTTTTTCACTACCGTCACTTCGTGAAAACAGCGACGGTATGTAGGCTTGACTCGCAGCTTTGTACTATCCTTATTTCCTCATTTGATCATACTGCATAGTGACCCTGACCAAAGAAAAAGTCTTTGTGTGCAATTCAGGATATCCTTTGTAAATACTGGTACTGAATTACACCGTCATATAGGCTCTATAGCTAGCAGGCATGATTAGTTCTCTATTTAACCTGTATATGCAGATAAACATCGATTTTTCAAAGGTCAAAGCATGATATAAAAACAGATGTATCCTGGTATAGAGGGAACCATCACTTGCAGATAAAATTAGTTACATCTACACTGATCCCAAACGTGGGAGGATCATCTCCATAAGCGTGGTCTGGTTGGGATGGAAACTGCATGCTCTCCCAACGCTTATTTTGAACGTGCACAAAATAAGCGTAGCCGGTTCGAGGCCTACAATGAGCCGAGCGATGTTACGTAGATAGGAACGCCATTATTGTAAGCAGCGTGCATGGTAGCATCTTGGTGAGATGTCTGTGGAATAATCTTGTAATAAAATCGCAGTACCGTCTGCAACTATCTCGGGCCGCTTTAGGCTGTTCATTTTTGAAGTTAGGAAAGAACTGAAGAAATGCTTAAACTCCCCCATTTATTGACATCGCCTCAAATCGTAGTAGAAAGAAGACGATTCCGTTGTACTGTTTTTACTCTAAATCTTTGTCTGAATTCAATTTCCCCCCTCCCTCGCGAAGCGCGGAAGCTTTGACGTTTCATTAAATTATAAGAGAAAGAAGACGATTCGCTGTACTGTTTTCGACTTTTAATCCTTGTCTGAATTTTCAAAAATGTTTCTTTGTCCGATAAAAAGTCACAGTTCACAGCAACATAATTATTTATGCGTATCTTTCTTGTCCCTCGACGTGGTGACTCCACCCAACATCCCCCTCTCTCTCTTGCTCCCACCCCTCTTCTCTCAGGCTCTAACCTTCATCTCTCTCTCTCCTCTCTTTCGTTTCCTTTTTCTATTTTTTTTCTTTTCTTTCTTTTCCTTACCTTCTTCTTCCTCTTTTTTCCTCTTTCTTTCTTCTTTTCTTTCCCTTTCCCTCTCATTTTGCCCTCCCCCTTTTCACGTTTTCCCGACAGCAGCGCTATTTTACCGACAATATCCTGACAGGTGGGGGTATCGCACAGGCGCGGATCCACGGGCCGATTCTTCCGGCCCCCCCCCCCTAGCCTCCCAAACCGGTAAAAATAGGATAGTAACGTTAATTTTACCTTAAAAAACAACAACAAAAAACGTCCCCTGACCTGCCAGTGACACAAATGCGGCATCAAATATTTGTGCTTCTCTGACCGTAATTAAATGCCTAAAACCCCTGAGCTTCCTGGGGCTCCGCCCCCTGAACCCTCCACACCAATTTACGATAGCTACCCTCTACCTGATCGTAAATATTTTAGCCCCCCCCCCCCTACTTTGATAAACGACCCGCGGGGCCTGTGTATATAATATATACGCATACAACATTGATCTTTATGATGTCTTTAACGTGACATATCTTCTTCTCCCCTTGCAAACGAGAAAGAAAACAAGGTCATTAAAAGGGATTAAGCGACAAATAATGATTGTGATTCAAATTGATGCGAATATTTGTTTGAATAAGCACTGCTATTCACCAGAATCTTCTTTGTAAAAACAACTTTTACAAATCTCAGCCATGCTTACTGAGTTGAGACGTTCCATCCAATTTGAAATACTCATTAAAGAATACACTTCTCCTAATCTGAAAGTGATCTTACAACACAGTGGCAGAATTGCATGGCTGAGATTTATAAAAGTCGTTTTTACAAAGAAGATTCTGGTGAAAAGCATTGCTTATTCAAAAAAAACCTTGCATCAATTTGAATCACAATGATCATTTTGTCGCATGATCCTTTTATCAAATAACCTTGGTTTCTTTTTTATTTGCAGGGGAGCAGAAGCTATGTCACGTTAAGAAATCATAAAGATCAGTTGTATTATGCGTATGATAACAGAACAAAATGTTGATTATCAGAATGTCATTTTGGAATACCTCTGTACAAATACCCGACCTTACTGTGCCGATACCACACTGTCTTCAGCCCGTATCAGTATTAGTATGAGCCAATATAAAGTTATTATTCTTTATTCAGTTCAGTATAATGCTTTTCCTCAAAATAGTTTCGCTATTTTTTTTTAGGGTTGAGACGCTAAGAAATGGTTTCAAATGTACATTACACAAACCCTGAACCATTGCATAATGATGGTGGTTCTTTCTCTCTCTCTCTCTCTCTCTGTTTATTTTAATCATGCATTATCAACTACATATAAAGCATCAACAAAAAATTAAGGGTTATCTGGGATAGGTGAAAGTGAGAGTTAAAAAGAAAGTCATGCTAAAACGGCGCTTCACCTCCCCCCCCCCCCCCCTCGAAAAAAGAAGAAGAAGAAATTAGAGGTCCTCCTCTCCAGTATCCCCCCCCCCCCTCGCTTTAATATTCACCGGCCGGCTGAGTCGGCGCCAAAATGTTCCCCCAAAACTGGACCCCAAAACAAATATAATGTGCTCTTATCCACCCCACCCCCCGCCATTCGCCGTTTGCCGGCTGGCTGATTCGCCGCTAAATATTTTCTCAAGATTTGGCCCCCCCCCCCCCTTCTTGCCGCCGACTGGATCCATCCCTGGTATATCGCACCCCCCCCCCCCCCCCTTAACGACGCTCCTGTCTGTGTACTTATCCCGTCAACCGTGTTGTTACCTTGGTTACTTACGTTTATTTCATTTCAGAATGGAGCCAAAGGGAATGAGTAAAGTGTCAACAATGCCTTGGACATGGTCTTTGCCAGCTATCAAGACTCTACGACGAAATGAGGTGAGAATATGGATTGTTCAGACTTAACATTATTAAAGAGATTGTCGAGTTTGAGTAAGGATGAAAAAGAAATGAGCTTTCTGAGTCTGTGTATGGCAATTTGAAGGAATGTCACAGTATAAATGCCCCTTGAAATGGGTTACTCTTCAAATGCCCTAACGTTGGAAATATAACGAGAAAAAGCTGAATAGTGTGGTCCAAACTTTCATGCCACATGTTTTGTGTAGTTCCCATGTGCTCAGCTCTGTGTGTAGTGCATTTCTAGCAAGATTGAGGTTTGATCATTCCAAAACCCCACAATATACATAAAATCTTGTGTACTACATAACCGCATTTTCCTGGTATTTTTTCCACAATCTATCTGCATGAACAGTACTCAACTTTATACTTCGAGACATCATTTTCGTTTCCATACTGATTTAGTTTCTGATGTATTTTAGTCATTGCTGTGTTCAGCAAGTAATCTAATCACATGCAATAAGGTTCAGATTTTCTGAAGGACACAAATAATATTTATTTTGGCATTCGATTTATTTGCCAATGTTTCGAAGTTCCCTTTCTCATCTGAAGCCGAGGGTGACGGGGAAGGAAACTTTGCATTGTTCTCATTACAATGGCATTCATAGTGCCCACATATTCTATTTATGCATACTCATCAGAGGAATTGAAGGGGAAAATGAATTAACAGTCATGACATTATTCAAAATTCAATTCAATTTTTATTTTGCCAAGCAATAAAAAACATACAGGGTAAAACAAAAGCAGTATACATAGTTTCACACAATTACAATTACTAACATAGATAAACACAGAAATACACAGAATCAATTTACAAACATGAATAATACAAAGGAAAATTGCTAATGCTGGTAGCAGCCAGAAAGGAGGTGGTCCTATTTTATGCGGCTGACCAATTAATCAAATATAAAAAATCAAGCTATAATAACAAGTAAAACAAATAACAATTACATGTAAAATATAATGAATTTAACAACTGTTAAAATCTGTAGCTAATATCAATATAGGTCCATCAAGTATTGTTTATATTTACGTTTAAAAGTGTTAACAAATTTTAATTCACGTATTTTACGAGGTACATTAATAACATTATACACGGTATGTTATAGAACAACTTCCATTTTTAGATATAACAAATTCGAACTTTGCGCCGATATAATCTAAGCCTAATCTTGGCCTAAATGAATGTGGTTGTTGATATTTGTTGATGATAATCATGCATGATGTTTTCAACGTTGAATGCCAAAGGTTTCATGTCATATCTGCAATTTCCTTTAAAAAGCGGAAATATGTTTAGTTCAGATTGAGCCTATTTGGGAATAATGTCTAATATATACTGTTAATGGCAGATTCACTGTGTAATTTGATTTGTATTATAATTGGTTTGAATGGAAACGCCCTAAATGAATAAATTTATTGTACAGTGTGAGACTACTAAAGGAAGTGTATCTCTTTTACAGCCAACATCAAATTCTGTAGAACTCTATAGAACTTTGTAGGAATTATGAATATGTCACGTATGTCCTATATCTGTGAAATTCAAACGTTAGCAGTGTCCTAGTCCTCAAATTATGCAAGGAAAACCGGTTTAATTTCTAGACTTCACTGTCAGACACTATTGAGTGACTGACTGACTTCTTTTTCTTTGGTAATAACATCCATAAAATGAGTTGTGAAGGGTACATGAGCATCTGTCCACATCAATAGCCTACTTCTTGTATATTATAATGGCCAAAATTAAAATGACGAATCTTTGCGCAGCACAAAATGTACGACCATTTGGTACAAGGGACATCAGACTATTTAATTTAAAAACGAATGCAATCGCTAAATTCGATTCGACGACGATTTTTTTTAACAAAATGACATTTTCAAGCCGTTTTGTTTTTAGGAAAGTGCTAAATTAGTATTATCTTTCAAATGAAGTTAGAATTTAACCATTTCATATTTTTTTTTGCCTACAAATGCGACATAGTACCTTTAAGACACCCCGTCTCTGTATCATATTACAGGTTTTTACCATCCTTATTTCCGCACTACGGTCATACTGCATATTATAGTAGTCAAGGACCTTGACCAAAGAAAAAGTCTTTGTGTGCAATTCAGGATATCCTTTGTAAATACTGGTACTCCATTATATTGTCATAAAATATTGTAGCCTCTAGCAGGCGTGATGTTATATTGAATAGTGCTCTATTTACCCTTTGCAAATAAACATCGATTTGTCAAAGGTCAAAGCATGATATAAAAACAGATGTGTTCAGGTATAGAGGGAACCATCACTTGCAAATAAAATTAGTTTATCAACACTGATCGCGTATAGTACTTAGAAGGCCTACATTTTAGAAAGAGCGAAGAATGCAGTTCAGCTTTTAATTAAAGATGTTGTTGTTAGTGTTGTTGTTTTGTGAATGTGTGTGTCTTTTTTTTTTTATTGTTTGCTTTCATTTCAATTATCCCTGAAAGTACACAAATACGGAATCTGTATTTGCTTCTTTGTTTAATTAATAAGCAACTTTGCCTTACAACGACGTTATTCTTCTACTTTTTTATTCTCTCGTTCATTCTTTATTCATTTTTTTAATAATTTGTTTAAATAGTTGTTAATTTCATTTTTTTTTAAATCACTCGTTTCTATTCTCAACATCCTCTTCTCTCCTCTTTCTCTCTCTCTCTCTCTCTCTCTCTCTCTCTCCCCTCCCTCTCTATCTCTCCTCTCCCTCCCCTCTCCCTCCCTCTCTCCACTTTCTTCTCCTTTCCCGGTATGGTCCCCTCCTCCAACACCACCTCCCCTTGTTTTTCATCCGACTCCGACTCCTTCTCCTCGAAGACAATCTCTCAGTCCTGATCCACCTCCTCCTCCTCCTGCAGCATCTCTGGGATATTTGCTTCCTCTACTACCTTTACCGGGATGTTCTCTTCCTCTTCTTCCATTACCACTTTATCCTCCCTCTCCTCATCCGGAACTTCGACTTCCTCCTGTTCTCTCTCCTTCAGCACTGCCATCTCTTCCTCTTCATCTTCTTCCTCCTCTGCCTGCAGGGTGTTGCCCTCCAGCTCTTTCTCCTACAAAACTATAACCTTTTCCTCATCTTACCTCTGCCTTCTCCTCCTGCAATTCAAGGACATTTTTTCTTCCGCCTCCAGAACTTTTTTTTCTTTCTCCTCATCGACTTCCATGAAACTTTCCTCCTTATCTCCTTTCTCCTGGATGTTCTCCTCCTTCTCCCCTTCCTTCTCCAGCAACACCTCCTCTTCCCTTTCCTTCTCTCCCTCCTCCTCCTCCGCCTCCGCCTTCTGCTCCTCATCCTCATTCTGTTCAGTATCTTCCTCCTCGGCCTCAAGAATATCCTCCTCTCTCCCTCCTCCATGACGGTCTCCTCCTCCTCCTCATCGTCTTTCTCCAGTACCACAACATTATCCTTCCCCTTTGTAGCCTCTATACGCTTCTCCCTCCTCTTTCTCCTCCTCCGTCTGTTTCTTCTCTTCATCTTCCTCCTCGTTGATCTTTTCAATCTCTTTCTCCTCTTCCCCTTCCTTTACCACGTCCAGGGTGTTCTCCTTGGCTTCCAGCAGCACCGCTATCTGGTTCTCTTCCTCCTCCTTATGCAGCACCCTTTTCTCCTTCTCCTCTATTAAAAATCCATAACTTTCTTATTTATTCTCCGATTTTTCTAAAAACTTTCACTAATCTGTTCTGATTTTTCTCCTTGTATTAAAAGAAATATATGTTTTCAGGGTGGACTTCCCCTTTAATAACGCACGAAACAAAAATGTCTGACACTATCACTCACACTCCTACCGCTTCGGTTCGCCTTAAAGCATCCCGCTCTCAGTAATAACCCCTGTATTTAAATCCTAATGACTCTTAAGCAAAGTACTATCTGATCTCTTTTTAAATACAAATTTCCCTCAAATTATCATAAATATGGTAGCCTAATTTTACTTGTCTCCAATGTTCATCGCGTTGTGACGCTCACAGGGCTTGTACATTACTACCAAGGTTAAAGCAGAGCCGCCAAAGTAACTAGCGCTCAGGCATAGTTATCAGTTACCCAAAGGACGTTATATTGTTATGCTGGGATCTAAACCATGTATCAATATGAACATGACTGACAAAGAAAGCGGACAAAATATACAGTTCCTCAGGTAGACAATTCACCTGTTCTACACATTTTTACATAATAGCAGTGAGGGATGTTCCTTTGTCTACCTGAGAAACTGTATATTTTGTCCGCTTTCTTTGTCAGTCATCTTTATAGTGTATGAATTGTGATCCATGTCAGTTCGATGACGTATCGACTACGCCACACCACCTCGACGGGAATTTTTCTTTCTGATATTAGAAAATTTTACGTCTTTATTTTCGATATTATCATAACTTTGTAATCCCGAGTATTTTTACCCTGCTTCATTACAATTCACCTAGGTTCCTCTGTCCTACCGTGAGCCATTCATCCTGTCCCGATACCGGTCGTGTCGTAGCAGCTTGGGCACCTGCCTACTCAGTGCCTTGCATGCAACCAATGAAACCCTCAATTTCTGGACCCACTTCGTGCCGTTCCTGGTCCTAGGCCTCGTCACCCTCCAGCACGTCCTGGACCCGTCTTTCAGGTCAGACCCGTTCAACTGGGCGTTCCTGGTCTTCGCTCTGTCCGGCTGCGTTTACTTGCTTGGAAGTTCCATAGCGCACATGTTCTCTTGCTATTCGGAAGTTGCCCACTATATCTGCTACTTCATTGACTACTCGACCGTCAGTATATACATGGTGGGGCTGTGCGTAGGTGAGTAGCTTTGGAGCGAAGGTGGAAGGTCACGCATCTAGGTATATGATGATGGATATAATTTCCCTGTATATTTTATATGCAGTGAAAGTTTAGAGTCGAAGTCTATGAAATCGGTCTATTTCTAACGCACAGGGTTTTCCATGTCCTATACCGATCCAAGGATTCAAATCAAATATAATCTAATATCCTGCTAATAATACTATTTATAGTGGAGACTTGTAAAGCGCTCATGTCTGGTGCTCCATTATTACTACCCCGGCTTTAGCACTGCTGCTCTTACCGATTACAGCGCTAGAGCATTTACATAATTAATTCTTGCCGTGTGCCCATTTAACTCACCTGGGTGGAGTGGGCCCATGTCTTGCCGAAGGATATAGTGCTCGACAGGGATTCAAACCCTGCACCGTGTAGTTCAAGGAGACTTATCCACTGGACCACAACACCTCTACAAGGGTACACAAATATTTTGTTATCTACTGCAGACGGTAACGTAGCGGTTTTGGCGCACGAAAAAAAAATTGCTTTTATTTAAACCAACGTAACTATTACCAGGCTGGCTGACCCCTATAACGAACAGGGGGCGATTTAGGGGGAGGGGTAATTATCCTCGGGGGTATTTTCAGGGGTGTGGGTGATTGCCCAGGGGGTAATTTTCCTGAAACGTTCAAATTCATAATACTTATAAACAGTATCATACATCCTTTATCAATACGCATCAGGGCCCCGACTTATAAAGAGTGTTGCCAGGGACGGATCCAGGGGGGGGCACAGGGGGCACGTGCCCCGGCCCCCCAAAATAGTGCTCACTACCCCAAAAATATACATATAATGATGTTACCCCATGCCATTTTGTGCCCCCCCCCCCCCGGTAAGAAATTCCTGGATCCGCCCCTGGTTGCAGTCTGATCGAATCAATGACAAGTCCTCCAATCAATCGAAAGTTTACAGTCTGCTATATCTTGTACTCATTGATATCAGTCGCGAATGAGTTGCGATTAATCGCAACTGTTTATAAGACGGGACCCAAATTCTATTGTGCGTCTCCTTTAGAAATGTGCGAAAATGAGAATAATGTACAGGTGTATTACATAATCCGAATATGATTTTCTATGGGATATCAAGATTTGTTTTCTTCTCAAAATACATGTTATCGTGTTATAGGCTAATAGCAGTAATATCATCAGTTTCTGCAACAGGTTCCCGATCTTATACTTCGTAACAATCTTTCTGGTGTAACTAGTTTTAAAAAAATCATGGTGCTAAACTTTCACATCATGTATGGCAGATTTCACGTATGTGATCATTGTAGTGAATACGAACGCTAGTATTTTCGAAAAATCAACTCAACGGATTACGATACGTCATTATCGTATTCGAACATTGCAATAGGTGACACACAATGCTAGTGAAATTGTGTTAGGTTCATTTTTAGAAAGTATGTGCTATCCTGTTAATTTATGACCTGATGTGTTTTACCTTTTCAGCATACAACGAGTATGTGTTTCCACGGTACGCTATTAACACGGTCATGCATCGCGTATACCTACCTATGGTGTTCCTTCTCTCTCTCCTCTTCTCTGCAACCTCATGTGCCACCAAATACTCAAAACATCACTTGCTAAGGATTCATGGCAGAAAAGTAACCTTTCCAGCATACTTCCTGTGGTGCAAGTAAGTCATTATTCTCGTTAAAGGCAGTGTATTTTTCTGACACGATTTAAGATTTAAGAATACAGCCATCCGACTGTTCACAGTGTCCCAATGTGTCGACAACTATTTCCCACGATGCATCACCCACTGATGTCGCGTGCGTGATGATGCGGCTTACTTCGGATCATCGTGTCATCGCGTCCAGTCGGGTGGTCGCGTCACACGGCCTTCCGTGGAACGAAGACAGAAGATCATGCGACCTTTTGTAGATTTGCAGTAGGGTTGTAAAAAAGTGTCGGGTAATTTGGCCGGACCAGATCATTTGTAGGTGAGAGGGGTTTATCTTACAGATATTGCCCCCGACATTGCGTGAATAAAGGGTCATGTTTTCACAAAAGGTCGAGTCACGCGACCACCCGACCAGACGCGATGATCCGATGATTCCAATTTCCGAGTAAGCCTGGTGATGCTTGGGTCCAGGGACCAGAACTCGCTCTATGTACGCCTTCATCGAAAGACGACGCACGTACCGGAAATACTTTACAGCAGTGATAGCGATTTCGGTAAAATACTCTGCCTTTACACCTGAAAGGAAAATCTGGTATCAAGAAACAAATTTGATAGATAGAATATATCTAGATTGTGATATGAGTTCTACGTTTATCATACAGTTTGTTTTATTAACCTTAGTCTAAAAGAGATCTACATGATTGGCATCCTGAACTGGTTGATTAGATGATATACTTTAACCACATTAAGAACTCCTACAACATTTTCAGAGCTTTATCAAAACTTGTGATAATATGAACCTTGCTACCATCACAGCTTTAAGTGCTCACAACTTGTTATTAGATATGGTAAACCCAAATTTGTTCAGAAATTAGCGTAAGAAAATATAGCTTTATTTCGTCAAGAATCCTGCAAGTTAATTATTCTAAGTTCACCTTATCAAAATATTTTCAAAGATAGGCCTTTCTGTCAAGTAGAAGGCCTTTTCTCCGCAAACATTCATTATCATCAACAAAATGTAATGAATTGATTTGTATTCATCAAACTTCGAAAAGCAATCCAATTCGTATATTCAACCATTCCATCTATGAAAATGTCACTTACCATGACACCTCACACCATTAATGAAGCACATCTTTGTACTTTTATCCTGATGCAGTCTTCCCCTTGCCTACCGTGCTTTCTTCGGATCGTCATCGTCGTCGTCGTCGTCGACGGCAGATGTATACCACATTGCCCATACCATCGCAGCGACCTTGGCTGGCCTTTCGTACGCATCGCACCTCCCCGAAGCTCTGGCTCCTGGTCGTTTCGACTTCATCGCTCAAAGCCACCAGCTTTTCCATCTCTGCACTGCTGTACTGACCTACTACCAATACCACGCCCTCTCCGCCGAGATGCATGACAGGCGAGAAGAGCTTCTCACTCTGTGTGGCACTCCGACTTTTGTTGGGACCTTTGGGGTGTTGCTGGCGAACATCTTTCTGCATGGTGTTCTTATAGCAGGGCTTGCAATTTGGCTTCGTAAACCGGGCCAACTCGCGAAGATTCATAAATCACTGGAGATGCCCACTATATCTCACAAGGAAGATTGATAGATAGAGAATATTTTCAAAATAAGTCCAAAATAATGATCATTCCACTATCCACTGTAATAAGAATGGGTCGTTGAGATGCATCGGTAAACTGAAATAAGAAGTAACGAGACACTTTTCTATATTTTAGACGATGGCGCAATGTACTTTTAGGATGACAAATATATATGAAACATTCTTTTTCGTAGAGCAACAGTAGTCACTCAGATTTAAGGATTGATGATGATAATCACAGAACTTGGAATGACAATTTTATTATGAATTATTATAGCTGATAAAAGACCATGATTTTTCAATTGGTAAGGTTAAGGTTCAGGATAGTGCAATAATATGCCTCTCTTTTTGTTGTTGGTAGTATTTCTTTGTTATACCTGTTCACATTAAATTTCTTTTTCCTTTGGTCGTTCATGATGTATAAGACTTACACCTGTAAGAAAAATAAAGACAACACGAAAGTTTGTTTCTCCTCAGTAAATCGTCATATCTTAAAATACTGTATGGGATAAGGCCCAACAGAGACTATACCTACGGTCATTTTGTTGCAGGGTTACCGGGCACAAATTAGGCAGTATGCCCCTAGTTGGTCATTAACGATCGAAAGTGAAGAATCAAACATAATGGACTAACTAAAAACTCTATTCTTCATACAACTGTTGGCCTATGTTCCATGCTACGTATAATGTTTAGATTAAAAAGGAAACGTGTTGCTTTAGAAATTATTACGAGTTGTTAGCTAAGAAATTAATTTGTTTGTGTTTCGTTCGATACGGGTTAATGTAAACACTACAGCCCAATACCAATGACGCAAATACTTATCCATATGTGGCCAGTACTATCTATGAATTTATGCTTTGTTGCGTTTTGTCGTTTGTTTTTGTTTTCCCTTGGTTTGTTTGTAGTATGTTATTTGTCGTTTTGGGGCATGGAACAATAGACTTTTTTATTCTTCACTTTATATTCATCGCAAACACCTTGCAAAAAATTACTTGAAATTCAGATGAAATAAGTATCCTTACTGAAATATTGCGACCGGTTCTCCCTCACTCAATTTTATCTTCAACATTTTTGCGACAATGGGAGAATTTATAGTATAGGCCTATTTTGTGTATCGACAATTAATTACAAATTAGCTTGAAAATTAACATCTATGAGATCATTGTAGTTAAAGTAATCTTTAATTGTTCTTAAATGGGCTTAAATTATATTTTTCTTTATTGTGTTCAACGTGCGAGTTGAGTAGTGGTTCCTGAAATGTAAGTTACCGTTTTATAGACAGTTTGAAAGTACTGATATTATTTCTATGATGTAGAATAATAGCTGAAGAAAATATTTGTAGAATAATACTAAGAGAGAGTGAGAAAAGAAAGAAAGAGGGAGTGGCCTGGGCGAGAGAAGAGAGAAAAAAGAAAAACTGGATCAAGCTCATTTTATGAATGATGCTTTAACCAGTATATTCCCTACCTACAAGGTGCTTTTTTTTTTACCCAAATAATTTATCCGGTTGAAATAGAGGGACAGAAATACGATTGAAAATAAAATCAAGCGGTACAAAATACCTGCGCGTATTTTGAATAAACTTATTTTAAAGTCTCGAGGTAGCTGTTAAACGTGATAAGTAATGATATTCAATCTTAGCAGAACAATATTTAAGATTAAACAAAAGAAATGCACTGCAATATATATTAGTAAATTAAATGTTTGCATGCATTTCGATTATTACCCATCCCATTGTTGTATAGAATATTTAAATACTGAAAATGTAATTGTAACGTTACAATTTCAACTGTACAGTCCTATAATTTGTGATAGAAAAGAATGAGATATTATGTTTGTTATGCTCCTCGGGAAGTCTGTATGCGAAATATATGCACGTGTCATATTCTGATAACTTTTACAGGACCATGAAACTGTGACCCTTAAGAACAATGGAGATGACCGTGATTTATTTCAATCTTGTATGTACTTATCACAATGAAGATGAAGACCCTACTAATATGCACCCCGTGCAGGGATCCACGGGGGAGGGGGGCGTGACGACGGACCCGTTCCGGGCCATAAAACAGGGTTGTTGTTTATTAATGGTTTTCTCCGTCAAATCCTTGCGATGCTTTTTAAAGCTAAACGGTATCATTCATGCATGCGTTTACTAAATGATCACGATTCGTTCTGGAATCTCCCTTCATAAAGGGATCGAGTGCTGTACTTTCTATTCACTTCATTTAAAACAAACTTTCCGTCTTCAGCCGATTCCGATATGTGTAATGTGTAGAGTATTAGCTAACATGATAGTGTTAATAAACATCCATTTAATATATCATACAATGTGATGCCATGTGCCTGTGTGATGTGATTACTTTTAAATAATATAGACCTATGTACTTATTGTGTATTAATGTATATTTTCTTCTTAATAGAATTAAACGATGTGATTCAAATCTTATCATCTTTCCTAATTGTGTATGGCTCTAATTTTCAGATTATTTTAATACCGATTTCAAAATGTATGCAACTAATAGTCTTACCCCCCCCCCTCTTCCCCCACCCCCTCTGTCTCTCTCTCTCTCTCTATCTCTCTCTCTCTCTCTCTCTCTCCCTCTATCTCGATCCCCATTCTCCCTATTTCTTTTGCACTGTTTAATCTTTAAAAACAGAGAAATAATAATAATACAAATGAAACATTGCAAAATGGATAATGTTTTACCACCTACGTCTTTTTCGGGAGACTTTTATGATCAAATATTTTCTGTGATATTGATATCATAAGTATTATCCATTACTTTGTACACATACTGTGAAATTCGTCGATGCAAGACAGGAACAGATAAATTATCTGCCCACAAAATTCATGTTTATACTAAACCAGTGTCGAATTTCGTTTAACAAATGTCGAAGATTTTTGTATTAAAGAAAACAGTCATAAGCTATTCATCACTTTGGGTATGGTTATTTAAAAATGAAAAGAGTATAATAACTCAGTAACACGGGCAAACCGACTCCAAACCAAATGTATGGATGTTTCCTTCCTTGGGGAAGTTATTCCTTCAACCTTTTATTAATGAATATACTACTACTACTACTACTAATAATAATAATACTAATACTCAGTTTTTATATAGCGCTTATTAGAATCACTAAGCGCGTCCAAACTTGGAGATTATTACCCCGGTTTTAGCTGTGCTGCCATTTCGGCGCTCTAGCATTTCATTTCAAATTTCATTTCAAAGAATGAATTCCTGTCAGGTACCAATTTACATCACCTGGGTTGAGTGTGGCAAATGTAGATCAATGTCTTGCCAAAGGACATTAGTGCCGCGGCGGGTCTCGAACCGCGGACCTTTAGTGATCGACAGTCCGGCGACTTAACCACTCGACCACGGCACCTCTACATGCAGTCGGCATATATTACTTGTTACTATGTCGGGAAAGCTTTCAGATTGTCATTTAAACCAACCTTTGTTTGGAAAAATATGCGAAATATTTGAATATGTTAGTAAACATGTGTATTAATTATTGAAACGTTAAAATTAACTGAGAATAGACCCCAAAAAAGGTGTGTGGTAGTGATACAGCGGCCAAGCTCCTTCAAGCCTTGCAGTAAGGAATGGGTTCGGGCATCATTGCCTTGTAAGGGAGGGGTGCCACCTTCATCAACGATTGGGAAGTGTAGTAGATACAAACTACCGCTGCCACGAATTGCAAGATGCCGAAAGTTCCGAGACCGGCATGGATGTAGACGCATTCCATCTGGTAGGCATGGCGGGAAAATGAAAAGTTAAACAAATTAGATATTATACTACTATAATGTAAATGCTTTTACTACTAATTCCTCTTCTTTTCTTATTTTGTCTTCTTTTCCCTCTTCTTCTTCTTCTTCATTTTCTTCCATTATAACAACGACAACCATGATGAAGACGACGACGACTACTACTCCTTCTACTATGAAGATAATCATCATGCGTGTTGTGTTGATTATGAGAAAGAGCATGATTCTGAGGTGACAGTGGAAGAAGAGGGGATGAATTAGGAAGGGTGGGTTTGAGGTGGGGTTGAAGAAGGTGATGGTGATGATGAGGACGATGATGATGATGGTAATGATGATGATGATGATGATGATTCTGCTGATGATGATGAGGATGACGATGATGCTGATGATGATGGTGATGATGATGATGATGGTGATGGTGATGATGATGGTGATGATGATGAAGATGGTAATGAAGATCATAGCGATGAGGAGGAGGGTGACTTTGAAAAATGGGCGATGATCATCGTCATTATGATCATGATCAAGATGAAGATGTAACGACGACGATAATGGTGATGTAGTGAGGATGATGTAAAAGACGACGACAACGTCGATGATGAGTTTGATCAAGACTGACAAAATGATAGTTATATAAATCATTTTATTCCCACAGATATAATTAACAGAAAGCTTATTTACAATGCAGGAGCTGTGTTCGGGTGGTGGTGGGTGGTGAGTGTACCATCCGGGTGTCGAGGGGGACATCGGGGGCGGTGCCGGCGACGTCATATTGCGGAAGGGTTTGTCACATCCCTGGCTGTCGAACACGTAACCTGCGACCTCGACTCCGAACAAGGTCATGGACAGGATTGTAGTAATGATCAACATGATGATGTACGACCTTCGCTGCCATGCAAAGAATAATCAAAACACGATAATAACTTATTATACAGGTAACTGGATCGGTCACACCACCGAACCGACTCAACACTAGCCTCTTGTCAATGGCCCTCGCGTTTTTGGAGTCCGTAAATTCTGGCAAGCGAAGCGAGCCAGAGAAAAGCGCTCGGTTTATCTGACTCGCTTCGCTCGCCAGAATTTACGGACTCCAACAAAGCGAGAGCCATCGACAAGAGGCTAACTAGACACCGACTCCAAAACCACCGATTATTTGCCTTTAGACAGAGGCTTATTGTTTGTTCGATCTTTTGTCGATCAGGGGCCCGTTTCACAAAACCTTTTTTCAATGACAAATGACAAAAATCAGTGATAAATCTGCTGATAACCAATCAGAAGCAAGGATTTCAGTATAGCTTAGAACAAAAACAAAATACACGATCGCTAAGACTTTCAACCTTGAGGCAATTTTAATATCCATCTACCATGTGTACGTCACTACAAAATATATGCCAAGATGAAGATGACATACTACATAAACCCCAAATGATTTCTGGGGGGTGTTTCACAAAATCCTAAGTCGAAATTAGCTTTTAGTTGGACTTTTTATGGAGAACCATTTTGTAGCCTTAAATAAAATGTATTCAAAAGCGAAAAATCAAGTATTTTAGACTTTTTATAAATTCCACATCAAGAACATGAAATCTCCTTGATATTAGAAAATATGAATGATTTGAATCAACATTTTATGCCTTTTAAAATAACTTTTGCAAATATTTTCATAGATGCTAACGGCTTTCCATAATTGTTAAGTCCAACTTAGAGATAAGTTCAACTTAAGATCTATATGAAACACCCCCTGGATATGCTAGAGGCATTACAATAGGGCAGTGAGATTGTCCCTCTAGATGATTTCTTGAAAGCCTATGTGATCGTGTTGCATTGGAAATAGGAGAGAAGGGATAAACAGAAGCTCCTATAATATATAATTCATATTGATACATACCAGGCTGTACGAATCTCTCGATGCCTCGACAACACCAAGGAGGCCCGTAGCTAGCACCTGAAGAAAAAACAGTATTTGTCTATTTATTGATTTCTAGGCATACTTTGTTCATGTTTTATTGTAAAACAGCATCTGAGAAACTAACACTTCAACAAGCTCTGCTTCAAGTTAGTTCCTCTTTTCTCGTGCCTTTTCCGTTATATTTGTCGTTTTATTGCATATTGTTTGTGATATAATTATTCTTGTATTATGTTTTGCATGAGAAATTAAATCATTTGAATCATTTGAAAGCAGGAGTTTAAATTGCATCTAATTATTATAGTCTAAAATATAACACAAAACTATGATTCAAATTGACCCAAGTTTGCACAATTCTTGTGATACCGAATTTGATCTTGGAGAACCGTACATATTTGTTTTTAATAATAATTCTAACATGGCGTTTGAGAAATTGTTTCCTTTTTGACCTATCAAACAATAAACAAAGTTCTAACATGATGTTGAAAAAAAAATCAGTCGCTTTCATATTTTGACAATCGAAACAATAAATTATATGCGTATTGGTAATTATTCAGTTCTAACACAACAACACCCGCTGTATGTCAGTGACACCGCAATCACCAACTGTTTTACCAACGTATTACCAACAACGTATTATGATGCTGCACCTGAACGTGGCTTGCATGCCATTCAAAATCATTTTGCCATTCAATCATCAATTTGATGTTGGCGAGTTTATTGTCTAACATTTCACTATCATTTAAAGAGTCCCATTTTACCTCTAGTACAATAAGCAGTGCCATGAAAACATGACAAAAATAATAAGTAGCTCTCGTGTTTTTTGTATTACTTGCTTCTTTTACGTAGACATTACTCTATCAAGATATGCTTATGTGTTTGCTCGTGAGTTTGTTTGTATTTATTTGCTTGTTTGTTTTTTAATGCTAGTAATCAGGCGCGGATCCAAGATTTCACTGTGTGAGCCAAATATTTGTACATTATGGTGGCCTGCAGTGGCGTAATGAGCAAAAACTTCTTTTTTGGGGGGGGGGGGGGAGAGACAAAAAAATCCGTATAATCCCACTCTTTCATGCAGGCCCCTTTGAAAGTTTTTCCAAGTTGATGGGGGAAGCTAAGGTATTTACGATCAGGTAGAGCGTAGCATAAATTGGTGGGGATCAAGGGGCGGAGCCCCCGGAATCTCAGGGGATATGGATATTTAATTACGGTCAAATTAGCATATTTTGATACCTTATAAGTTCATGACACTGGCAGGTCACTAATTGGCGTGGGGTCCAGGGGGCAGAGCCCCCGGTAGCTCAAGGGTTTTGGGCACTAAATTACGGTCAAATGAGTATCCAGAGGCCCGTATTAGGACCCTTGGTTGGTTCGAGGGGGCCGAGCCCCCGGAAGCTCGGGGGTTTTAGGCGTTTAATTACGGTCAGATGAGCATATTTTGATACCTCATTAGTTTGTGACACTGGCAAGTCACTATTCTTTCTTTCTATTTTTCTTTCTATTTCTCTGTAATACTTTCTCAAAAAAGTGGGGGGGGGGCGGTGGCTCGAGGCCCCAATCCCCGCCGCTCAGCGGGCCCTAACATGATTATAGGCCTTTAGATAGGCATATTTCTTGCCTGACGGTAAATTTAGGAATTTGTCATTTTCCAACAAACGCATCAAAAATTATAATTAAGAGGCGGTACTGATGGTGATAATGATGACAATGATAATGACGATAGTGGTGATGGTGGTGGTGATGGTGATGGTGGCGGTATTGATAGTGGCTTTGATCAGGAGATGCTGAATCAATAACGTTGATGACTAACTGTTATCGACTGCAAAACCTTTATTAATAACCCAGCACAGCTACATCGCCACCACCAACCAACAACAAACAACAAAAACTTGAAGAACAATAATCAAAATCAAGATGAATAAAAAAATACTCACCGTGAAACCAACCCAGATGCCAGCAGACACGTAGCACAGGTAGCACCAATAGCTAAATGAGCCAGCGCCTAGGACCAGCATCAGGTTGCCAAGGACAACCTGGGCAAGTGCCCGGGTCATTTCTGTCCATTCAATATCGGGTTGAGGGCGAGGCTCATCCTTCAATTTCTCTTTCTTGTAATCGTTCATGGTTTAATTGTGGCTTGAATGAATGGGAGGTGGAATCAAATGAAGTATTGACCCCACAATATTTTTTTAAACAGTTTTCTACTGGTGAAACTTGAAGATCAACTAGTCATTAAAAGGGTTGAAATTGTAATTGTATGTGTTTCAACTTCAGCTTCCCAGTATCAACTTAGTCATTCCCTACACAAATTGTCACAATTTGAAACTAAAATATTGAACAAAGGAAAATAATTTCAACGTGTAATTATTTTTTCATCTTCATTTCTTGACTGCATTCACTTTATTTATACAGAATTCCTGAATACAGAGCTTGACAACTGGGCGCTCCATATATCAGAGGACTATCTAAGCTGTCTGCTAAACCAAGTTTAAATTAAGTACGAGCCAATGATCATTACTTCTCAACATTGAAAATCATCATTTGATTTGTTTTCCCTCAACCACTCGAGTACAAAAACAAACAGAAATCGGGGGGGGGGGGGAATGGCATCTAACAACATTCCCCCTTTGAGTAAGAAAATTGGGGGAAAATAAGGAAAAATAAGGAAAAGTCGGGAAAAAACGAGAGAGAAAAAAAACGGGGATTTTTTTTTTTTTTTTTAAATCGGGTAATTATCAGGCCTGAGTACAGTCTCCCAAACAGGCCTATGCTTTATAACCACGCTTTCAGAAGATAAAATAGGAAGATAGATTAGAGAGAGGGGGGAAGTGAGGGACAAAGAGAGTCGGAATAAGTGAGAGTGAGAGAAAAGGAGAGAGGGAGAGAAAAGGAGAGAGAGAGAGAAAAGGAGAGAGAGAGAGAAAAGGAGAGAGAGATAAAAGGAGAGAGGGAGAGAAAAGGAGAGAGGGAGGGAGAGAGAGAGAGAGAGAGAGAGAGAGAGAGAGAGATAGAAAGAGAGAGAGAGAGAGAGAGAGAGTCACGGTTATTAGTATTCTTTTTTGAAATAGTCTGATCGTCAATACGATAGAGAAATATCATGTCTAATAAAAAAATATGTACTGTAAGCCCTACCTGGTAAGCGGCTCCGGGAAGAAAAACAAATTCTTGACTCCTTGGAAGTACGTGTATGTTGACAGTAAATGTTGAGGAGAAATGTTTATTTTCAATTGAGATGTTAAAGAGTTTCATTTGTCGGCAAACCCGATGGTGCAAACAGGACTTTGAACTTGCGTGCCACCTCCACGAGGGTAATCTTGTGAGAGATCTTGATAACATAGCACCAGGTGGCAGTAGAAGATATCGAATGTGATATTAAGTTTAGAGGCTGGTACGTATTGTAGACATATGCATCTATATTATTCTATATAAATATATATGTTGTAATCAAAGTGTGTAACAATCCAGTTTACGTAATAAAGGGATTGGCTGAGCACCTTCTTCTAATGATTCTTAATTAATGTTAACCATCGCAAAGACTTTCGAGAAATCAACCATAAATTATTTCAATACCCTTGTCCATCATCGATTGAATTATGCGAAGATTACGATGATATATCATATTACATAATCCGAATTAGATTTCTATAGGCAATGCTAAAGGGTATAATAATTATGTCCTAGAAATGGCTATTGAGTCGATTTATTGAAGGCCTTTGGTATTGTGTTTATTCTTCCAGTAGTTGAAATGACTTTATCGCCCTCTCCCCATCCACACAGACCCCAAATAGGCGTTTCACAAAGCCTTTTTTCAATGACAAATGACACAAATCAGTGACAAATCTGCTGATAACCAATCAGAAGCAAGGATTTCAGTAGCTTATAACAAAAACTGTCAATTGTCATTGATGATCAGTTTTGAGAAACGGCCCAGGTCTTTTGTGGAACCTAGTCTATCACGGCCTGCTCATACAGAGTTGCGACTGATCCGGAATAGTGACCGCGAACCCTCCAATGTTGTCAATCGCAAACTTACCAACTCCTTCTAGATATGAAATTGCGATCTATTTAAATCAATTGTAACATACCCCATTACTTCTTTATCGTTGAATCATATTCATTTCCTCTTATTTTTGTCCTCACATTTTCTAAAGTTCTCCCACTCACTTTTCCTTTTCCCTATTATGAACTCTCGCCTTCTCTCTCTCCCTCGTCTATCTTTCCATCTCAATGTTTCTTTACCTTCCTCTTCTTCTCTGGCTCTGTCTCTTCCTCTATAATAATAATAATAATAATAATAATAATATCTAGTATTTAGTACGCTCTCCATAGTAAACTATGTCACAGCGTTTACACAAAATAATCATACATAACATACATTTCATCAGAATAGGTACAGACACATTGTTTAAAAGAGATAGGGAAAAGAAAAGGCCTTAAGTTAACTATTCAGGGAAGAGGTAAGTTTTCAAGAGTTTCTTTAATTGGTCTGTGGACTTTGCTGCTTTAATAAGAGAGGGGATATCTTTCTTTGCTTTGGATGCAGTCATCTATATACCTCTCTCTCTCTCTCTCACCTCCCCTCCCTCTCTACTTCCCTTTCTCTCTCTCTCCTATCTTAGACACAATACTCTCACTTTCTCTCCTATCTTAGACACATTCTATCTCTCTCTCTCTCGCTCTCTCGCTCTCTCTCTCTCTCTCTCTTCTTCCTTCTTGTTCTTTCTCTCTCTCTCTTCTTCTTCCTTCTTGTTCTCTCTCTCTCTCTCTCTCCCTCCCTCCCTCTCTCTCCACCCTTAGATACAGATATAATTTCACCTACAACAGACGGCTAAATCAGTTTAATAATTTTATAAATATGTATTGTATAAGTCACATATACAAAACTGTAACAAAAAATCGTGTAAAATGTCACACCGAACACAATCTTGTATTAAAACATTAATTGTACTTTAATAACACCATGAACATGAAGGCACATTATCAATCTACCTCTAGTAATAATGCCAACACAATTAAAACATTTCATTTCAACCATAAATTTGTGCACACTAATATATTTCACTCCTATATTCAAAACTAAATAATCTTAATTTTCCTCGAAGACGGATGTGACATATTGAAAATAAATCTGCATACTTTGAATGTGTTCCGGAAGTTGAATTTACTATGAGGAATATATTGGATTACATCACAGTAATGAATAACAGTCCCAGAGGCTAGCAGGTTACACAATAATTCATGATCAATCTTCACATTAGCTTTGAATACATACTTATGTAATAGTATAAATATATTTTTTTTAAATAGTACCATTCTACACAAGGTCTAAAGTTACGTGCACTTAATATATTAACCTCAAACTATCTTTAATATATTCACTCATTTTGTATCTATTCAATCCCAGTTATATCCGTCCTGAAAATGAAGGAATTATAGTTCATAATTAGGTAATACCTTACAAAGAGTGAACCTGTATACATTATGGAGTCATTGATAAAGATACAATGTGTAAAAGAATGATGAAAAACATGACAAACTGTTCAAAAATAGATAAAAAATATGTCAAAAGTCTTACAGCTGACATGTTAGTGAGAAGCTGTAAGTGGTGAAAGCACAATGTAGTAAGAATATAAAATAATATTTATATGAAAAAAATGAATCAGTCTCCCATAGATGTCAACAATATGAGCTGCACAATGGAACCCTGGAAAATAAATAGCATGATGAAGAAAATTGAAAGAAAAATACCCTGAATCTCCTGAGACCGTACCACTGTAATTGTCCTTCGATCTTCTTATGCTTTGTAAGGCATCTATGAAATTATTGCCTGACAAATATTTCACACACAATGTCTGAAAAAATACATCAAGACTACACCAACAGTCATTTTTAAGACTCCTCAATCCTCCCTCTCTCTCTCACATGGTGCATCCGCAAGCCTACTGTACAAAAATATATCAGTTGTGTCCCATAAGACGACATACTCGTTACAACAGTGTACAATCTAAATCAATATTTTAGGATAAATTGCATACAATACCCAAAATAATGGTAGACTGTAATGGATGGTATATACGGTACCCTGTTCAAAGTGAATGAAATATAGGTTATATATTTCATGTGATATGTTGTCATATTTTGCAAGTATATATCATATCATGTTCACTGTGCATATGAAAATATAGAAACAGGATGTTCTCATGCGTTATAAATATAAAATAGGGAATATGTGAGGATCTGACAGGAAATATATAGAATATATCAAACTTTACGTCATAATTACTAACAAATTTCCAAAAAAACATGATTTTTACAAGGCGCTGCAATTCCAAAGCTCTTTTCACAATACATAATCAATGTACATGTATTGTCATTATTACCTCCTTCCCCAAGTACAGATCATTTCTACTTTATTTATTCATATTTCTTTTATATATATATATATATATATATATATATATATATTTCATACTTTATTGATCCCTATCATTGCAAATACTTTATATCATAACCTAGCAACAACTATCAATAAAAATATTGGTCATTTTTAATTCCTCAAGGCGGCAATTCAGAGTGCCTTCAGAGTTGATTAAAGCAGTGCATAGTAATTCTGAGCACCAATTGTCATCTGTTATTTGCTAAAAATAAACATGACTGCAACTAGTACACTCATTTATTGATAACTTTTACAGACCTCATTTGCCAGCTGTTAACAATCCCATGACACATTATCATGATTAAGATAACATGGTATTCTAATTTTAATGATATTTCTGACTACACTACCTAATGCAATACAGGTATAATGTGTAGGATAATGTGAAAAGATGTTTTACAAAATGCGTAGAGTATACATTTTAGAGATATAGAGCTCTTGCCCTTTGCGACAATCTTTTAAATTTGTTTACCACCAAAAGAATATGTACCTTCAGTGATAAAAGAAAGAGTAATGCTGCTCAACAAATGGCAACCTCAGAAGTAGAAGGAAAAAAAATTAACCCAATTCAAGATTTAAAACGAGAACAGCAAAAATTAAACATGTTCTTGGACTTGGTACATTAGACAAACTACTGCTTCTTCAACACACACACACAAACACACGCATACCCAACGTTTCATTGACTGTATATAGGAATTATAGCCCTACACTCAGAATTCTGAAAATTAATGGTACATTTACAAAAATACATCACATTTAAACAAAATCTATGTGTACATCAAATTTAAGTTGTTTTTCATTGCGTACAGATGTATATTAATTTACTATAATGAGATGATAGGACATACTTTCATATTATTCTTTTTATTTGTCTTTCTTTCTGAGGGGGTGGGGGGGGGGCTATACATTTAGGCATATCAAATTATTTAGGGTGAAGGCTAAGATTACATACATGTATGACAGAACACTTTACATGTAGTTACAATCCAATTGCTGTCATTCTTGCATCCCTAATATTTGACACTGACCTTGACCTATCACATCTACAAATTGTCCGTTTAGAGCCAGACAGGCGTTCTTTCATACAATTTTACAAAGAGTTAACGCCCTTCTGGCTCAAAGCGACAACATATCAGATGTTCATTTAGAGTCTTAATAAATTTCCTTTATTGCCAAGACATCATTGCATGGAACTGCCTGTGCATCAGTCGTATATATTCAGCAGCGGTACATTCTTTTTTATCTTCATATGTGTACAGCCTATCCTACCATCATAAATATTAAATAGTGCTAATAAATATAAATATACAAAAATAGATTTGGTAAACATGCACGTTCCTGTTAGTCAAGTAATGACTTTGCTCATTCATTTATCATGCACTGCATTCAGTATCTGCCAATTTCAGCAACGTTTATTTTTTTTAATTGCTGTTTAATTTTCCTTTTCAGCCTATGGATTTATTATAATAAATATTTATAAAAGACTCATTTATTTCATACATAGAATCATTTGAGCTCTAAATTGCCACTGCAGACTATTAAATATGAATAGTACTTAGTACATTTGATAATTTTTATTTAAATCCACCACTCGTGTGCAACACTTATCATGCACTGCATTCAGCAACTTTTTTTTTTTAATTGCTCTGTGTAATTTTCCTTTTCAGCCTATGGATTTATAATAATAAATATTTATAAATATTTATAAATATTTATCAAAAGACTCATTTATTTCACACACAGAATCATTTGAGCTCTAAATTGTCACTGCAAACTATAAATTTGAATAGTACTTTGTACATTTGAGAATTTTCATTGAAATCCAACACCCATTTGCAACACAAGAAATATAAACCTTAGTAGGCATTTCAAAGGTGCATTTTTATTTAAAAAAAACATGCAGTGCACTATATATGCCGAGAACACACTGAATAATCTCGTCATATAAAAAATTGATCAATAATAAAACTCACTCCAAGTGATCTATGTTATGGAGTTAATGCAATAGAGATTAGAATATACTTTTTGTGGTGGACAGATGCTAAAATCGATTTTGATTCATCATTATTGATTTACCAATTTCAAGCAAAGCAAGATTCTACCTGTATCTTTCCAATCAAAGGTTTGGATTCTTGATGGAAAGTAATTTTCAATGTCTATTACTCATACATGTTTAACTGACGATAACTATTTCTAGTTTCTAGAATTTCTGTCAAATACATAATGGTCTGTTTAGAGCCAAAAGGGCATTTAGTGTATAGAAAAGTATAGGAGTTAAAGACCTTTTGGTCCTCAGTAAAAATACCCCAATATATTTTAATACATTATCTTTCAATTTTAAAAGCTTTGGACATGAAAATGTAACATCTACCAAATTGGAAAGTGTCTTTTTCATTCCACTGCCAGGAATAAGATTGCCCCAAGGGCAAGAGGGCTAGTGTTTTTGATACTTTGCAACATGCTGCATACTACTAGATTGAAAATGAACGCACTCTCAAAAGTATGTCCCTTTCAGGACAAGCATTTTTAAAGGGATAAATTGATCACATTTTTAACTTCAAATCGGCAACTATAATGTTTATCTTTTTTATTGCTACATTGCTCTAATAGAATGTAATGTCTCTGAAAACAATAAATATGAGTAAAACTTTGTGGCAAAGTTGACGAAATGGCCAATTTTGAATGAATAACAATGATTTTGAAACTCTCAATGTGTTGCCAATTTAAAGATTTTAAAGCTTATTTTCCTTTCTAAATTTCCTGGTGTCAAACACATTATTTTCATACATGGTGTGTGCTGAATTTTGCCCTTGCTACCCATGCATATCAGATATGTGTAGGGCACTACCGGTAAATCAAAAGTGATTGAGCCCAACCACATAATGTGGAATGACTGTCACAAGAGGGATATATTGGATGTGATATATCGTCGCCGTTTTCACGAACCGGCACAGCCCAACGCGCAACGAAATAAGTACATTCTGAGAAAAACGCGTTTTACGTTTAGCCCGTTTTGAATTCGCCAGAAACATGCCTTATGTCAAATTTTATATCACAAAATACATATCAATGAAAGGAAAATATTCTATATTTTCTATACATTCCATTTGTTAAGCATAATGACAATTACTATTAATATTACGAACCGGCACAAGCCACTGTGTCGTTTTTCCTATGTAACTTTACGCGCAAGACAAAATCGCTCGCGCTGTCTTAGCGCGTATTTTATTTTCACGAACCGGCACAACCGCCTGTGTCGCGTCGTCTAGGTCTTGTAAGCGCAAAGATATTTTCACGAACCTGCACAGCCCATTGACTTATAACGGCGCGTGCCGGTTCCGGAAAATATGAATCGTGCTTTTTGGCTCGTGTGTCGTTTTTGTCATTTGTGTAACCATGGATATCTCAAAAACTAAAGCGTTTTGGATGCTGAAATTTGGTGAGATGAAAGATTGTTGATAACTTATGCTAAAAATGCAAAAAAAATAAAAACTACATTTTGAAGGGATTTCGGTGGCTTGTGCCGGTTCGTGAAAACGGCGACGATATAGAGCTTGGATGGCAGGTATTCTAACTACAATTCTTTGCCTGTATATTTCAGATAAGTAGTTTATAAATCGCTATGGCAGGCAAGACTCAACTTAGCTTGTTTTGGATATAGGTGACTAATTATTATGAGCAAATCTGTGGATAAATCAATCGCATTAAAGAGATCTACGATGTACGATGTACTTATAAAATGCTATTTTTTTCTTTTTAAATACATTTCATAGCATATAAACTTCAGCCTCAAACTTTAATATTAGAGTGAATATTTTTCTACCAGCCAGTATTCAATATACACATTGGTTAAATATCATAAATAAAAATCCTGTTTGTGTAAAATACTCAACTTCAATCTACTTCTCCTCTTTGGATTTTTTTGTTGTTGTTTATACTTGGTTACCAGTAGACATGATGGCAGTATATGAGACTATTAATAAAATGTATCCCAAAATATGTTTTTCCAAAAAGAAATATATCAATGACATACAATAGTAATAACCTATTAGATAAATGCATAGTTGGTGCAGCAAAATGAGTGAAAGATTTTGAAAAACTTGAAAGCCAGAATCGTTATTTCATGACAGAGTCGAAAGGCATCGATGAATACTCAACTTTTTATATATATATATATATATATATAGTCACTGAATGTCACATTATTTCAAATAATCGTGTGTACAGCATACAAATGTAGTCACAATAATATGCTTGAATGCATTGCAAGTTGTAAATATAAATACAAAATTGAACTTTGAAAGCCAAGGTGAAATAGGTAGACCAGGAAGAGTTGATATCAATCGCAATTACCGCATGTACATAAGAGATAGGAGACTGCAAACTTGCGATTGATTGGAGGACTTGGGATTGATTTGGATCAATCGTACCTTTTTGTAAGATGGAGCCTAGGAAGACTGAATTACCATTCATATTGAGTGGTAGGTAACAGACAACAACAGACTGAAGAAAAAGATTTAACTATCTTCAATGGCAAATGGTTGTTCAGTATGGAGTCAATTTTTTGGAGGTGGAGTGACTAAGTGATCAGTTCCTTTCAAAGAAAGTCACACAATATCACATTTACCATACATACAGAGTCATATGTGACAGGGCCTTCAGCTTCTCAGTCTGTGCCCTCATACTTTGGAACGCTCTCTGCGCCCGTACTCAGGACTCGCCCACCACTGACATTTTCAAATAGAGTCTAAAAACTCATCTATTCAAAATACAACCCTAATAACTATAAAATATTTGTAAGTTTGTATTACAATGCCTACATTATGTCTTTTGTTAAATTGTTGCTAAAATGGTTGCTATTATCAATATGATACATGTTTGTTAACTTTCCCAGGAATTTACATGTTATGTTGATTTATTTAGTGATGTTAGCAATGTTTGATTTTCTTGTTGATTTCAGTAATGTTAATTTGTTTAGTTATGTTAGTATTATTTTATTTTCTTGGTAATTTAGGTAATTTTAATTCCATTAATAGTAATATAGATTTTTCTTGAAGTAATCTTGATTTGTGTACAGCGCTTTGAAACTTTTATGTCACAAGCGCAACATAAATTGTTTGTATTATTATTATTATAGGTGATGCGAAATCACAGCTCATCTTTGCCAAGTGTAAATATGCTTCCACCAGTGTCTTAATCAATAATGGACCTACCCTGTTGAAAAAAAATGAACGATTCAAATGGGCTGAACCTGAGAGAGTTACCGTAGTATACAAAAAACAAGAATCCAACACAAATTTCAGCCTTTTTCCAAAGGTACGGCAAACACAAGATATTTCAGAATAAAAAAATGATCAGCCGAGTTTGAAAATTACCCTGTCAATCACACTTGCAACCACATCCCTTTTTCTCTCTCTTGTCTTCTTCTAGCCGCTGTCTTACCATCTCCAGTGACTTGGGTTGCGACACCCAATGAGAGAACCCCCAGATGATCAGCAGGTTCACCGTTAAAACCACCACGAAGGCTCCTGCGGTACCCGCCACCGTCGGTAACCCAACCGCCTCAACGAGAAACTGCCGGCGCTCGGCCTTGTCGAGCAGGAGGGCGTGGTACTGCCAGTAGGTCGAGAACGCACCACCGATGTGGAACAGCTGATGGCTGTGCCCGATGAAATCGAAGATGCCGGGGGCGAGAACCTCGGGGAAGCGACTTGCGTAGAAGAAAACTGTCACCGCGGTGCAGAAGAATTGCCGAACGTGAAAGAGCGCGGCGTCGGAGTTGGGGTCGGGTTCGACACAGAAGATTACACGGTATAACAGAGGCAAACTGAATGGGGGGCAAGGAATATTCAAAAGAACAAAATCAAAATCAATACGTCATCATCAAATGATATGATATATATTACAAAAAACTTTATCACAGCTTGTTTGCTGTTTTGATTCTATGGCTTAGGGTTTGTTTCAATAAATGTCCTTGTCAGAAAAAGGTGGATTGAAATAGTATAGTCTGCAAACACCTTGCTCTGAAACTTATAGGCCCCAAATTAGCCAGAGGATCCTATAAACTCACCCATTGCGAGACTCTTTACAATTGCACAGATTTAAAGCAATTTTTGTTGTTGGGGGTAAATCGTTTTGTTTTGATGGTTAAAACAAGTACTTTGATTAATTGTGCAGAATTACTTTTTTTATCATTCCTATCATATCTTAAAATCCCACATCAACCCACCCACTAACTTCAGCCAAGTGAAAATAGCCACTTCATGCCTGGATTAAAAATATACAGACCCCCCGCCCCCCCCCCCCCCACTCCCCTCCCAGTCATAAAATTGGTTAAAAAACCCTGACCAAACGTTTTTCTTCTAAATATTTCATAAAAATGATAGAAATAGAAAAGGAATATAAATGCTAAAAATTTTACCTGCACCAAAAATACGGGATCATAATTGCTGGTAGGCGCCCTGAGTGACATAAGAAGTGGTTGGATGAGAAGCGGCTGTAACAGGCTAGGAACGTGCTCAGCATCGCTGTAAACATCGCCATCACAAGGAAGACTTGGTGAAGGGGCGTATGCAGAAGCTCTGGGGGAAAGGTGTAGGCACAGTAGGCTAAACCGTGATGGGGAGGGGGAGAGAGAGAAATTAGAACATAACAAATAAAAACACAATTATTTAACACAACTTCAACAATTATTATATTAATTATACAGAAATTATCTAAAATATGGAGGGGGGGGGGGAGAAACAAAATTGCACGATAAAAATACTAATCAATATCAAAAGAAAGTGATGAAACTAAATTGATTCTGCAGTTACATAACAAGGAAAGTGAAAGCTGCTTTCAACTGCCTCTCTCCATATCATTATTTATTTATTTATTTTTTATTTATTTTTTTTTTGGGGGGGGGGGTTCATAAATTCATAAATCATTACCGGTACACAAATTTCTCATGGTATGGTATGGTATGGTATATTTTATTTATGCTTGGTTAAAAACAAATACAATAATTGTGCCCGCATTCAGCAAAAGCTGCTTTTCAGCGAGGCCGTGATTACATAAAATTCGAACAATAGAATTCAAAAAATGAAAATACGTTTACAAACAAATATGTTAACATAAACAAATCATATAGAAGTAATGTGAAGAAAATCAAGAAATCTTTAATAAAAATATCAGTAATAATTCAGATTTCTCTATAGGTTAATATGAGCCTTAGATGGTCATTTGGCCTTAGAATCCTGTTAAAAACTACAAGACGTCAATCCATGTATCTTACCTATACTGCTTCCAAAACTGTAGATGCTTATAGCCCCATAGTCAAAAAAGAATGTGACATAGCGGGCAGGCAAGGAGATGCAATTGAACAAGTGTGCCATCGCACTGGCAAACAGGTACATGACGCAAGACAGGAGGAAGCAGATCAGAGGCCACGAAAAAGGATCCTGGATGAAGGCCCCATCGGCGACCTGTTGCAGTGTGGTCCAGCCAAACCACATCGCAGGGATGAAGTGTGTCCAGAAGTTGATGGTTTCATTGGAACCCTGGATGGCGCTGACGAGGCAAGATGAGATGCTGCTGCGGCACGAGCGGTACCCAGATATGATGAAGGGTTCATGGAAGTCAGAGGGAACCTTGGGTAAATTTTGGGAGAAGATTTAGGATTACACACCAAAAATCATAAGAATAATATTCAGCTTTTAAATAGCGCTTAATACATCTCGGACGTCTCTAAGCGCTTTACAGATATACTATTACCCCGGTCATTGGATTCAGTGCTTGCCCGCACATATTGTGTACACAATCTCCACTCCCTGGGGAGCATTCCAGCCAGGCGTGTTTTGACGCTCAAAAACTGTTTGACCAACAATGACGGTCGCATCCCACCGGGTACCATTAACCATTTACTGGATGGAGAGTAGCAAGTGTAGGTTAATATCTTGCCAAAGGATATTAGTGCCATGTCGGGATTCAAACCCATAACCTTCGCATCTCCAGTCAAGCGCCTAATAAACCACTCAACCACGATACTCCCACTGTATTAAAATGAATCCTAGACTGTATTACTCAGAACAAGTTTGTGTAAACTGTCCCTTTCTATTTCCTTTCACTCTTGCTGTGCCAATGTGACTTGTGTGATAAACAGAATCATTATTTTCCATCACACATAACTTCTCCAAGAGCAGTGGTCTTGTAACCAGGAGGTCTTGGGTTCTAAACCAAGTCGATACGTTGGTGCCCTTTGGTTAAAGGTATGTTTTGGAAACACCCCCCTCTCAAAAAATGAAATGGAAGCTCTTATTACCAATCATGTGAAAGTATATGTTTTGACTAATACGTGATGATACAAATTTTGCCGGGGAAACCGTCTACTAATTGATTTGTTTGGTGAATTATTATATCTATCTGGACCGGAAAGATATCGTGCACATGTCTGTGTACAGTGCTTGTAACATTACCAAGACTGAGCCAAATTTCTTATCATTTTGATGATTCCAGAACCTTGCAGTACACACCAATACTTATATGCTAGATGATCAACCTTTTCTGATCGATTCCACAACTTTTCTTTCACAAAGCAATCGCATGACCATAACTAGTCTACACAACGGTTTTGCTGTGTGCGGACTTGTACACCCATTAATGGTATTTCCAACAAGCCTGGGGTCAGCAAATAATGACCTTATACACATTGAAACTGATGACCCTCTCCCTTCAAAGTATCGGCATTGTTATACAAATAACACACTCTATAATTCTTCATTTTGTTCTATCATATTTTTTGTGAAATCTACACGTCGTCGTTGTGGTTAGACCATACAAAAGTATTTTCGCATTCTTCTTTTAAGCTTAGCTAATCATGTGTCACAACCCAATAAACCAAAACTGTTTTCATTGACAACTTTATGCATGACAGCCTTTCAGACAAAAACGCTTTGAGGGTCACGGCCTCGGGGGGGGGGGGGGGGGCTCTTTTTCTTCTTTATTGCAGTTGCTCTTCTTTTCAATGGCCAATTGCCCTCAGCCTCACTTTTGTGTGAAATGTGATTGTAGATAATTCAGACTTCTTTTTTCTGGTCAGTGGGGTCTGTTTAAAAACTAGCAATAACAAATCAAACAGCAAAACATTTTTTCTCTAAGGTTGCACAGATTTCTTGTTTTTAACCAATTAAAGTCACATAATGATAGAAGTCAGCTCTCATGGGGAATTCGTCACCGTTCGTTCGGGTGTTTACCCAAATAACAGGTGTTGTCAATCACCAGGGTTAGCCTCGAGTTTTATGACCATTATACCTTTATTATACATTATTATATGTAATGCTTTGCTTTTCCTTCGCCCGAATAATTTCCGAGCATGCTCCGAGAGACTAGGGGGTAATTCTTGACGGGCCAACGGGTTTGCTGTGTGCAGATTTGTACTCCCATTAATGGTATTTCCACCAAGTCTGGTGTCAGCGGATTATAGCCTTCTGCACATGGAAACTGACTACCCACTCCCTTTAAAGTTAACTATTAAAATGAATTGACTGAAGTGGAGAAATGAGCATAGCCCTTAACCTATTAAATATAGGTTTGAAGTAATCAGGATTATAGACAGGAATAGAAAGTATACAGATTAATTGACAATAATCATATTTTTCAACTTGTCAACAAAAACATTATTTCATATATCATGAGCATATCCTGGTGAATAACATTTGTACCAGCGACTGTTGAAAAAACAAACTATTGCACGTAAGGTGAAATATTTGATAGCATAGAGAATTTCATTTCTAATCATGCCACTTGGAAGCATGCATATTTTATAGATGTACTTCATTATAATACAAATCACAATAACAAGAAGTACCAGTATAAAAGTAATCACACCAGACCATAAAAAACTCATTATTTTACATTACAGATACAGACAAGCAAAACAGATCTGCATATTTTTATTTGTATACTCCTGCTCGGTGTACATGCAGACCTGTATTAATGCAATGGCAGTGATTTAAAGCCAGTTTGTTGGAAGTTTGTATGAAAATCTACATGTACAGTGTACAGATATATTTATTGTGTGTGTTTACAAAAAAATTAAAAGGGACTATCTAGAGCTACCCATCTACTCATTGCCTTGCTCTTGATCCTAATTACTTCTAAAACAAACTCAAACAAAAGCAGTTCATGATGCTGTAATGTTGTACTTGCCAAGAAATTTAATTCCTGACATTTTTATTGGATGGATCAAATACTTTGCTTATTCTACTAGATAGGAACTTTTGCCCTCCATCTACTTTTGAAGAAAAAAAATTTGAACTTCCAAACTTTCAAATTTCCAAAGTAAAACTAAAAAACATGCTAGGAACAGAAGATGAATTCAGACAAACACACAAAATTAAACCAAACAATGGTTTGGGTACAACAAATTGACACTGGAATCCAGGACTAACGTTAGCTTGAGCCAGCAATAGTAGTTCACAAACGATTTTTTTTTTTTTTTTTTTTTTTTTTTTTTTTTTTTTTTTTACTACCATTTACAACACTAAAAAAAAAAAATTAAAAATATGAAACAGTAATTGTTTGATAATTCTGTGTTTACTTTTTGGTGAGTTGTGCGCAAAGCATGCACAACTTGTCGCTGCCCTGCATGCGTTTGCACAGAAGCAAGGAGAGTCACGTAACTAAAAACCAGAATGATACACTGGTGGTTTGAGAGCAAGCAAATACAATGCAAAAACCAAAGAATTTTCTGCCAGCGTTTAAAAAAAAAACATTCCAGAGGGCAGAGGCGGGTTTTTTCGATTTTGCTTTTTCTTCATGTTTATGGATAGTTGCTAAGCAACTTCTGACGAGACACCAGGGACCCGTTTCACAAAGCCTATTTTCAATGACAAATGAGAAATATCAGTAACAAATCTGTTGATAACCAATCAGAAGCAAGGATTTCAGTAGCTTATAACAACAACTGTCACTTGTCACTGATGACAAGTTTTGTGAAACACCCCCCAGAATGTGAGAAAAACCCATGGTTTCGCTTGCAGTGAAAATGCAGCTACAATTGCCTTTCCCTTTATCACAAACAAACATGAAAGATTTAAGAAAACACATGTAGATTATAATTACCTGGTTGAAACGCAGCAGCTTTATAGTCCACATCTTGCACAAGTCACACTCCTCTCCAAGTCCCACTGTTGCAAAGGATCCTAAAGCTTCCCCAGAGCTTCTGACAATCAGTCTTGTATTGTGATAAACCCCTCCTCGTCTGAGAGAAAACATAAAAAGACAAACCAAAATGATAAGCCTGTTGGCAGAAAATTACATACATGTACATGCAGGTCTAGTATAAAGCAAGGCTATGTGTTTGGTTATGGCCTTGCAGCATACTGAAGTTGAGGTCGGCAAAGTGAATTTGTCAGCAGTTTGAATTAACTATTATGTGGGGGTGTGTCAATGACAGCCGCTGTCAATCTCCCACTCCTAGTATTAAACTGTAAGTTCTTTTGGAAACTGTGCTAGAATACCTGGTAAAAATCAGGGGGGAGGGGGAAGAGAACCTGTTTGTTAAACTTATTAATGGCTAGTTTATAGACCTGAAGAATAAGTTTTGAATAATTTTTAAAAGTCCTACTGAATCACTCTTCTCATCTTCACTGCGATTCATGTTCTGATTTTGAGTTTGACAGTTACATGTCATGATGTAGAGTTGTAGACTATATCCTGAATAAATAAAAAAGCTGGATTAGAGGATGAAATAAGTATGACTAGTCTGCTAGTACGAGTATGAATAGATGCCAATATTAAACTTAGTTCACCATCATTCTATGGCATGCGCATGGCTTCTTGCTATGATTTATGAACATGATCTGATATAGACAGCAATAACCATCTGATTTGGGTCATTTCTTTAATAAAACTGACATTTGTTGTCATAATCGGAGGTCTAGTGGAGCCAGACGTAGTCTCAGTGGAACAACCGACGATTAGAGAGACTGAAGCTTTCGGTCTAGATCTGATAATGATAATTATGATGATGAACATTTAAACATGGGGCACATACCGCGAGCCAAAGTTGAAGTTTTATAAGAAGAAACCACTCTCTCAAGTTGAGCTCTTACTCGTTATTCGAGTTCTAGCCTTTCACGTCAGTATTAGGCCAACAACAAAAACAAGTATTGGACCAGACCTACTTTACGATCAGAAACTTGGCGACGCACCAGCCCGATAGCAGAGGGGAGAATGAGGCATGACCATGGCTATGGTCGGGGAGTATAGCACAAAGGCAGAGAGGTGTTGCATGGCTGCATGTTCAAAATTTCGACGTCGGCTATTTGAAAATTTGACACAATTTATGCATAGAAATGACTACAATATCAGGCAATTGAATTAAAAGTTTTACACAGTCATGTAACAAGAGAACATTTGATCGTGATTTCTTTAATTACTCACCAAAATTCCAAATTGCACAGCTAATTAAGGAGGGTGCGGTACATACCACATACCAGGAAGGTAACTACGGCGTTTGTGTACAGATGATCGATTGGTAGTCTAAATAATACAGCACCATTATTATGTCAAGATATACCATTTGATATCAAAGCTATACCATTTGATGAAATAAAAATTTAAAAGGTGTATTTAATAATAATCATTGCCAGCTAAAACAGTACCAAGCCTCTTTATACTCCAGAATCATCCTAGTTTTCAACAATATTCAATTACGTATTAAAACATAGTTTGTTTTTAAAGACTATTTATCAAAAGCATCCCCCCTACCAATACCATGCGTCCGACCGATGGCTTTGCTTTTCTTTACTTGAAAATGATTGGGAGACAGATCCGTCGGGATGCCTTACTTGCATTTTTTTTTTGCATCCAAACTGTTACACAAAAACTCATGGCTTATCAGTGTCAAGTTTGAAAAATCTTTAGGATTTGAAAACTAACTGAGCCTCGATCTGATTTGCAATCAATGGCGAGTCTATAGGGATTATTGTCACCCGGGTCAATCAACAAAATTGCACCCCACCCCCTCCATGCACGTACTATATCTGCTCAAATATACGAGCCACATTTCCCAATTTGTTTCACTATACGTGATAATATTATCTTAATAGTTGCGATTGATCTGAATTAAGTCCGATAAACAATCGCAAGTTTGTAGTCCCCTATCTTATTATGTATACATAGTTGCAATTTATATTCTTTTTATTGAACTGATCGGTTCCGAGGAGTGGGGGGGGGGGGGGGGGTTGTGACTCGGACCATCAGCAAACTGTGCATGCATGGTGCTGAAGCAGTATCTTGGACCACGTAAAGAGATATCTCATTGTGTCATTTACAATGTATGACTAGGAGTATAAACAATGTTTTAAGATTGTAATTTTTCGCTTTGAGGTTACCTTTTGTAGGTCCCCTTTTTTCCCCATAAAGTGCCCTTTTTTATGCTGCACTCTTACTTTGAAAGGCGCTCCGCCGCCCATGCAGAGGTTAGTAACCAGAGTCTCATAATACTGCATTTTACACAGTATTACTGCAAAGGAGGACCCTGCATGATTCTCCTTGTTTGATTCCCCTCCTCTTTTCTTTATTTGCCTCTTTTTCCCCTTCAAATGCTGCCCGGGGGACATAGGCCTTTACATCCCTACATAAACTAATATTTGCATGAGCATTATTCTTGTCCGTACAAAGTCATGTACCCGACCGACACAATGTTTGAAGAAATTAAAATCGATAGGCTCGAGGTTCCAATAGTAACGACACCGATAGCCAATCAATAATGTTCCTGTGAAAATGGTCTATGAAGGTTCATTGCTGAAATTCATTAGCGTGCGGTAAAGGCCAGGAACAACTACACGTATTACTCTATGACAGAAGGGACAGAATTGCATATTAAGATAAAGAGTCGACTTGTATTTCCTTGGGTGTCGATCTAGGCCCTGTGTTGTTCATATCAAAGGGAAGACACAGGAGTCGAAGATAACCCCCCACCCCGCCCCCCCCCCAAAGGTGTATCGAGGGGAGGTGGTTTGGGTTGGTAAACAGGGGGTGTTTTAGGTGTGGAACCCCTCCCCCCCCCCCCTCTCCTGGCAAAAAAAAGTAACAAATGTTTTGTTGTTGTTATTGCTCAACATGGGCAAGGGGGGTGTGTTCACCTCCCTCCCAGTGAGCCAAACAAAAAGTTAGTGCTTACCCCCCCCCCCCCCCCCCCCGCAGGCTTGCTGATTTGCCGCTAAATATTTTCTCACGATTTGGGCCAACAACAAAAATAGTGCTCCTTATACAGTTCTATATAATTGTCATTAAGAGAGAAAGAGACATGTTTTCTCAAATGAAATGATAGGGGCTTTGTGACTTTCAATGAGGAAATTACAATATCTATCGCTATAGTGAATTAGGCCATTTTGAATTGTCTAAATTGTTGAAAATTCAATAACTTCCGGAGGCTTCACGGCAAAATCTCTGCCCTAGATTCCATCCGTATAGAAGTAGATCCCAAGACAATCCTTTACGTTTTCATGTAGTTTATAAGCTTCTACTGTAGCTTAACAGCCTTAACATAATGTTTAGTATGCAAGCTTTCGTCCCGGCCTTCAGTGTATACTTTCAATATTATTCACACAATTCTTGTTGAACCTCGAGTTTACTGGAGCGAAGATAGATGACAATGAATAGGCAAAGTCACTAATCCGAAAAGGGTTAATCCTTTTTATCTACTGTAGATGGATTCTTTCGAGTTGCTTGATCATTAGGGCGTTTCAAACCCAATGGCCCGAATTCACAAAGGAGGTTTGTCTAGGCGCGGATCCAGGGGGGGGGGGCCGAGCGGGCCTTGCCCCCCCCCCCCCCCCCGCAAAAAAAAAAAGGAGAGAAAGAGAAGGAAAGAAGGGAAAGGGAAAGAGGAGGGAAAGGAAAAAAGAAGAGGAAGAAGAAAAGAAAAGAGGGAAGAAGTAGATCGGGGGTGGGGGGGGGGCAAAAGGACTTGCCTCCCAGGCTGTTGCCCCCCCCCCCCCCATCAAAAAATAAAAGAGAAGGAAGGAAAGGGAAAGAAAAAAGGAAAAGAGGAGATACAAGAAAGGAAAAAAGAGGAAGAAGAACAGAAAAAAAGGGGATAACGACACAACAAATCGTCTTCTTTCTCTAATGATTTAATGAAACGTAAGCTTCCGCTTAGCGCGGGAGGGGGAAAACCCAATTCAGACGAGGATTATTTTTTTTGGAACGGTACAACAAATCGTCTTCTTTCTCTAATAATTTATTGAAATGTCAAAGCTTCCGCGTTTCGAGGAGGAGGGAGGGGGAAACTCGCCCCTCCCTGCACCCACCCACCCCCAATTACGTCACTGCTGGTCACCATTACGAACCAATATTTGGCTCGCATAATTTCAAATTTTGCCCCCCCCCCCCCCCCCCAAGAAATCCTGGATCCGCGCCTGATGTATGTACAACGGCAACAGTTTCAATATAAAATGTAAGTTCTTCTTACTTAAATCATTGGTCTGGAAACAATTATTTGCCCATTGTTGTGTATTGTATTACATTTTCACTGACAATGAATTCACATTGTAATGCAATTTTCAAGTTTCCCAGGCTTATAAAGATTAATATTGTTTAGTTGTACGATAACATCACTCAGTTTGATTTGATTTGATTGGAGATATATCTCATTAAAAACAGAGTAAAGGCTATACAGTTTCAAACAAACCTACACCATTAAACTTCAAGCTCACTCACACATGATTTATTGCGACACGTTCAAGGCTACTTATTACTTATACAAAGGGCAACAGCTTCAATATTAAACGTATGTATAATTTGAAAAAGTGCACACCAACAAAATGTATAGCAAATACTGACTAAAGACTGCAACACGCTTTAAGGCTCTGGTGGGCCCAAGAGTACAGCGTTTAGACTAATAGAAATGCTAAAATATTCTCGCTCGGTCGCTACGCTCCTTCGCATAGTATCCTAAAAATATACAAGTAAATATTGAAGAAAATATGTATTCTGTTGGTATCACGTATGTACAAATTACACTGTATGTTAACAAGATTAAAAGTTATAGAAATAGATCAGTGTTCCAAAAATGAATATTCAGCTTGCTCTTTTAAGAAGTCCTTTCCTGCTCAGTACTTACTAAAATTTACCTAGTAAATATTTACAACCCTTCGGACTGCACACTAGATATCGGCAAAGTAAAAGTGAAGCGTGAAAAAAGTATATTGCTTGTTTTTATGCTGTAGTTTTGCTGAAGAATTTAATTTTGTAACACAACAGAACTTCAAAAACCTGTGAGGGGTTTACATATAAGACTTATCATACAGCTTTATGGGGGTAGTCCCTTCCGTCACCTCCGCCTCTGTCACTGGCGTACTGATGGGGGGGGGGGCAGTAACCCCCCCCCCCCCCAATACAATTTAAACATGGGTTATTTTTAATTTGATACCAGTGATTTACAAGTATTGCTAAAATGGCAGTATTTTTCCATGAGCTCCCGGGGGCTCTACCCCCTAAAACCCACCAAGGGCCCTCCGTTGTGAATTCGGCCCAATCAAGTTGTGGGCATCAGGATCCAATCGCATTTTTAAAAGAGCACAAAAGAACCAACAGATTAAGCCTTCCATCTCATTCAGTAGTATAGAAGATAACGCTTATTACTGGATTAAAAAAATCGATTGGATGATTTCCACAATATTGAGTTTGAAACGCCCTACTGGCCATCCTTCAACGGTTGAAGGTACAATGACATAGTTATATAGACACTCAATAAAAAACAATTGAAAGTATTTTTTCTTTTTTTTATACGTGGTACCTTAAATGGCATTTTGTAAAGGACTTAGTTTAACATTATGTTTAGCATTATGGCACCCGGAATGAAACAAGCAATAAATTGCGTCCCCGAACTTATCTTCTCAAAATAAAAATATAATTTGTGTACCAAAAAAAATGGAGCTTTGAATCCAAAAACCGTTCATGGCCACTCCACCCCTGTCTACTCATAATGAAGCCCTCTAAAGTTTTTGGGAGCCCCAAATTCGCCCAAAAATTTAAAGGCAAAATTTTGCATAAATTGTATCATAATGTAAAAGAGGACAGTGGCGGATCCGGGATTTTCCAATAAGGGGGGGGGGCGCCGCCGACCGATATTTCGCTCAGTGGGGGTAGGGGGCCAACGGTTCCGGGTGCCATAATGCCTGGATACGTCACTCATTTCCATCCAGTTAAACTATGTCCTTTACAAAATGCCATTTGAGGGGGGGGGTGTGGTAAGAAGTAACTTTTTTCCCCCAATTCGTAAGAAAATATTTAGTGGCGAATCTACCAGCTGTCCACCCACACCCCCCCCCCCCCTTGAGCAAAGAGGGGGTGTTTGAACACCTAAAACACCCGTTTGCCAAGGGGGGATATTTGAACACCCAAAACACCCCCTCGATATGTCAATGGAGTTATGGACCTTCCAGGATATCCTCAACATCCTCCTCATTTCATTAAAACTGGAGCAAAATGAAGAAAAAAAGTTTCGTAATCGGCAGGATTCGAACCTGCGCGGGGAAACCCCAATAGATTTCTAGTCTATCGCCTTAACCACTCGGCCACGATTACTTTGATACTGGGAGATCGGTCGCTGGCTTCCCGTTCATAAATGGCTGATTAAACAGAATCAGCCCCACTGTCCTACTTGTAGCTACTCAGGGGCGGATCTAGCTTTTTGCTCAGGGGGGGGTTGACCAATAATGACGATGCGGAGCATCGTCCACGAGCCGCGAAGCGGCGAGCCGATTTTTTTTGGGTGTTTATTTGAACCCCGTAAGTGATGTTTTCCTGGCATCTATTAACACAATGGAGACCATAAAAAGCAGTGCATGATAACGTCTTTTTAAATCAAGTAACAGTTAAATACACAGTTATATCCAGAGTTATCATGTGTTTGGTTAAGTTACCAGATGAGTTGAATATCTTCTCACAATATTTGCACTTGAAAGGGTTTCTCTCCAGCGTGCGTTCTTTTTTCTTTCTTTTTTTCTTTTTTTTTTTTTTTTTTTTTCCTTTTTTTTTTTTTTTTTTTTTTTTAATGTGGGGATTTTGGGGATGAGAATCGGCAACGCTGGCCTAGCTTGTCACTTCGGCGGTGGCCCGTGTCCTCAAAAAAGCTGATGGGGGGGGGGGGGGGGCAAGGGACTCTGTGACATTTGTTCGCCCAACCCCCCCCCCCCCCCCTCCCTCCCCCCAAAAAGAAATAATAATAATAATAATAATAATAATAATAATAATAATAATAATAATAATAATAATAATAATAATAATAATAATAATAATAATAATAATAATAAATGAAATAAATACATAGAAATAGAATAAAATAAAATTACAAGTTTAAAAAAAAAGATAAGATTTAAAAAAATGGTCCCCGGATTTTTTTTTTTGGGGGGGGTTGCAACCCCCCCAACCCCCCCTCTAGATCCGCTTCTGCTACTTGCTCCCTTTATATAGAAAACTTCCAAAATCGGTGCCTGTTGGTCCGCCATGATCCTCTTAAGTTAGTTAAGAGCTGAGTTGATATATAGCCACCTGCCAGTGACCTGGCTGGGTAGTCTAATCCCTTCTGGCCCAGTAGTATTGTCGGTCTTTAAACTGTATTTTGATGGTGTTCATATTTCACTATCCACAATATATTCTTGCAATTTCTTTTTTTGCAACAAATCTATATAATCATGCCCCTAGTCAGGCGCGTACGCAGGATTTTTTCAAAGGGGGGGGGGGGGGTTAACAATTATAAATTGGGCCGAAAATTTCGCAACGACTCAGCCAGCCGCTGAATAAGCGGGGGGGGGGGGGGGGGGGGGGTGGTAAGAGGACACTTTTTTTTTTTTTTTTGGTATCGAAATTTGAAAATTTGACATTTTGCTCCGTTGGGGGGGGGGGGGGGTAAGGTCATCTTTTTGAGGTCAACCATGGGAATTTTTTTTTTTTTTTTTTTTTTAATAAAAAAAACAAAAAACAAAGGGGGGGGGTTTAACCCTCCAACCCCCCCCCCATTAGAGCAGTGGCGTACGCAGGATTTTTTTAAGGGGGGGGGGGGTTAACATTTTTAAATCGGGCCGAAAATTTCGCAACGACTCAGCCAGCCGCTGAATAAGCGGGGGGGGGGGGGTAAAAAAAAAAAAATTACCAAAGGGGGGGGGGTTGCTCCAAAATACACACACACAAAATACCAAAGGGGGGTTAATCCCCCCCCCCCCTCCCTGCGTACGCGCCTGGATTATAATAGAGTAAGAGGATGTATAAAACACACACTTCTGCAAAGATTCCCCTAAACAATAGTGTTGTTTGAACACAAATATTGATTTAAAAATACATAATTCGGGTTTTCTGTTGTACGCAGTAAACCTACATGTAGATTGTATTCTTTCATCAATATTCGACTTCAAACAATTTTTTTTGAAAATCCTTGCAGAAAGTTTTTTTTTTTTAATAGTTCAATATTTTTGGATGAGCTCTATCTAATATCATCAGAAAGACTTTTCCATAATTTCCTCCTCCAAAACTCCTCTATTTATCATAAGCTGTTCCAATGGCGGATCTAGCCGGGTGCAAGAGGGAGGGGGGAGGATATCTGAGGAAACATTTAGCGGCGACTCAGCCAGCCGGTGAATAGGCAGGGGGGGGGGGGGGGGAAGAAACACCCTTTTTTCGAGCGAATCTTTTTTCTTTCTTTTTTGGCCAGGAGGGAGGGGGGCGGGGCGTCGGACTTAGCTGTTCCTGCCTGAGCTGTTCACCAGTTTTTGTTTCATATCTTTACACACGTCTCTTAAAAATATTGCATATGCAAATAGAACAATTTCTATTATAGCTCGATAAACAGTAAGCCTATAATTATGAGCTAACTGTTTGATCCTACGGAGTTAAACAAAAAAAATAGTCTAACTTAGTTTGTTCATAATAGAGTGCTACAGTTGGGTACATAATCAACTCTAAGGGTTACTCTCAAAAAGTAATTTTGTAATGTTTGTAACTTTTGGCGTTTGGTCTCAGTTATAAGTGCTGCCCCAAACAACATTTCAGTTATCAAAATTTGGCTGTTACAATTGATTTATAAAACATTTGAGCTCTTCGATTATCAATTATCTTTCCTAATTCTTTTCAAGTGGGCGGCTAATTTTGTTTTTCCCTTTACAAGACCTTAACAAAACCCAAATTTGCAGCATATCTACTAGCTTTTTACAGTTCTGTAAAGATGCAAATACACACATTGCAAAGATCTGACTTTCCGTAATCCATTTTGAACCCCGCAACGGGGCCCCTCGTATTAAAGAGAAAAGAAAAATCAAGAAAAAAATTACGTGAAATGCTTTCGATTTATAGTCTTTTTTTAAAGCTATGGTGAATACAAATTTCAACTGAAAATTTCCGGGTGATGAAATAAAAAGAGGGTGGATGGGGGAGAACTTGAGCACATAAACAAAAAGACACAGATGATGATTCTAAATAAATCAAATTAAACTTGAATTTAATTTATTAAAGCACAACTTTTTTTTTTTTTTTTTTATCTCCTCTCCTCCGGATAGATCTGCATTATTTTCCCATCCAACTTTCTTTTTCCTTCCTTCCTTCAAGTTTCAAGTTAATATACTAATTTAAACAACAAACTATAAAAGTTACAAAATGATGTCAGTATATTACATGAACAATAATATAAACTGATAAGACAAAGAAATAGAAAAAAAAATACACATATTGATCATATGAAAGTGTTTGGAGACAAGTCAAAAAGGCAAGGCCTTGTATACAAGCCTGCCTTCAGCGATTATAAAAATAGATTTAAATCAGGAATAACACACTTGGGGCCCATATAATACATACACTCTCTCTCTCATATTGTACTATCGAGAGTTGTAACAAACCAATTTCCATTACTCCCCTTTAAGTATTAGCATAGCAGTAGAAGTCGTTTTAAAGAAAAATTAGATTGAGAAAAAATATATTGAATCTAATTTTTCTTTAAAACGATTCATATTTCTACAGCTATGCTAATGGAAATTTATTTTGTCGGGGAAGGGTGAGGGAATTGGGAATGGGGGGGGGGGGGGGGGGGAGATGGAGCGGTCCATAATGATTACCCTGCAAAATTCCAGGCACCAGTGCTAGAAGTTCAAAGTTCATATCCACGTCCTCAACATAACAAATGAAAATCCGCGAAGGAGACACGACTCGGGATTTTTTTTGCTTATTATATTTGGTGATCTAATCACCTGATCACCATGATTTTAATTAAATATGAAAGTGTAATTGTAGGGATTGCAATAGTTTGTACCTGTCTGTCAATAGCACACGCAGCTAAGAAGAAAAAGCCAAAGGAACTGGAAATTATATCAGAGGTAAATATATTTCAGTCCCATGCCTGTTATATTGTGTTTGTGCGTGGTATTTGATCCTTTCTTTCCTAGTATTCGTCACCGTGACAGTGCAGTGGTATTTGAAATGTTGAGAATCAATAGAGGTCGTCTAGACTAAACACTTTTTAATACAACAAGCATACTAATGCTATGTGTGGAATCTTGATTACTTCATAACGATCCCTGTCTGGACCGAAGCTTCTGAAGTTAAATCGGTCTCTATAATTTTATAAATATATTATAAATTTATATCGATGGGCATTCTGCCGCATAGGACTGTATATGTCTGGCTTCACCCCCAGTCCTACATCATTACGGTCTAACCATAATGGTATCAACCTCCTTGACCATCCTACAATGCCCTCCTCAGTGCTCCTACGCTCATGTCCAAAACGAGTGGGTGATCGAAAAATGTTTTTTGTTTTTGTTTTTTGTTGTTTTGTTTTTGTTGTTGAAACATTTAATTTTTAAAAAACTGCGCCCCAAAATCAGAGTAATAAATCAGCTCTGTAATTTGCAGCCGATTCACAATTCAAATCATGTAGAAAAACTGAGGAAACCACCTCTAATTTTCCTCTGTTGCGTTCCGTGTTGAATTTGCGAATTGCCTTTTATGATAGGCCCCCAATAAATCAACCACCAAATACTCTGCCCATACAATTTACAGGTTTTTGCATATACCTGTACATGCGTGACATGGTTAGGTATGGATCAAGTTTTCTACCACCAAATTTATGTACAACACTTACAAAATTAGATGAACAATCAATTGGCACTTCAGAAGTTTGACTGTGACTTCATTTCCAAAATGTTACCACCACAAATTCTTGAAGATTACCACATGTGAGGAGTTTTGTGCAAATCTAGATTGGAATTATGTACTTTGCCTAATTACTCCAAGCTATCAAATCTATATAACCTTATTTAATAAATTTCTTTTCACTATTTCTTGTTATCCTGTTCTCCTTTTTTTAACCTTGCAGTACAAACCGGAGGAATGTACTGTTGTGGCACAAACTGGAGATGTTGTCAAAGTGCATTACACAGTAAGTATAAGATTAAGATTTTCTTCTCTTTAGTTCAGATTGTGGCTGAAGCATGCAAAGCATTGTAAATTCATATTTACCTTTATTACCATCATCGTTAAATCATACCACATTTTATTTACTGTGAGCCAAAACACATTGAAGATTAATGGTATTTTATTGCATCTTTCGGGAATGGCAGTTTCACAGTTTCACAACTGAATTGCACATGAATTACACAAGTTGGATATATACATTATAACAAACTTACAGAACATTTAGTTAAAAATAATTTAAACCTAATAAACATAATTATATGCCAACATTGTATATTTATGAACATATTTGTTGTGTGATCATACATTTTGAATATCTTGCTTTTTACATACAGGGTACCTTTGAGAACGGTGCCATCTTTGACTCCTCAAGGCAGGACAATCGAGAGCCGATTGATTTTAAGCTGGGCGGCAAGATGGTGATCCAGGGCTGGGAGTTGGGCATTGAAGGCATGTGTATAGGGTAAGTAGGTATTCAAGTTGGTCTTCATTTGGAGGTCAATCATACAAATACAGTGAAACCTGTGTATAAAGAACGTTCACGGGAGACTAGAAAAATAGTTTCAATGGCAATCCATTCTTGAGGGAAACAAAAAATGGGGTCTTCTTAAAAAGGTGGTCTTTCTATACAGGTGGTTACTAGAGCAGGTTCGACTTTAGTCTGACAGTTGTAAGACACATGCGCCATAGACAATCTCTCCACAGTCAATATCTACACTAACCAAATTCCTAACTTAACTTCAAAGGAGGTGAAGTCTACACTACTTCTACTGCTGCTAATTATAATAATAATGATAATGATGATAATGATATTATATAGTATTAATGACTGCTTTGAGAGAAATAGTTGTTTTTATACGCTCAAGGGAAGGTTAGAATTGTGCTATTACCCGAGGCGTGCCGAGGGTGATAGCCCAATTGTAACCTTCCCGAGAGCGTATAAAAACAACTATTTCTCGGATATTAAAGCAGTCATTAATACTTTTATATGCCAAAAAAAAAATTAAAAAAAAGAAAAAAGAAAAAAAAAAACTTTTTTCGAAGATGGGATTCGAACTCTTGCGTACAAAAGGTGATGTAACTACAGCCAGCGCCTCAAACCGCTCGGCCAGCGCGCTATGTCACCATAAACAGTAGTTTTCTTTAATATATACATTAAAATGAATTGAAAACGGCTTCGCGTGGTCGATGCTTCGCCGCTGCTCCATTAAACGGGCCCTTCTTTTACTTTTGCAATGCATATTGGCACGAATTTAGATCAAGATCTATCGGGCAGATGTTGTTTTTTTGTTTTTGGAAGTTTTTTTTTCGTCTTCATGTCAACAATGCAAGATAAAATTGTCGGTAAGATCGATCGAGATTCAATTGTATTGAAATTACCGACCAATTCTTCGCACACGTACGGTATCCTCGATCGCTCAGACCATTTTTTAACATGTAAACCTATGGGGTAACCATGGAGACTGACCTATTTTCCCAATAACCATGGTTATTGGGATTTTGAACTGTTTTTTCAACCATGGTTACCGGAAATTTTCGGGAACAGTTAAAGTTTATGAATGCAATTTCGACCAATCAGATTGCTGGATTACTTAAGTGAGGTATATAAATGATGATATTAATGATAATAATAATGATAATGATAGTAATGATAATAATAACAATAATAGTAATAATTTTTTTGAATACGAGAGTCGAGATTGATTACAAATAATTTATTATTGATATCAATCACATCTCCTATCTCATTAGTACAGAAATGTGATTGATATCAAATGAGATTCTTATCAGCTGGGGCCCAGATGTACACCTCATCGTTTAGTATATTATTCTTAAGATGCATTGTTGATTTGTATGTTTCATTGACTTGCCTCTAGGGAGAAGCGTAAACTCATCATCCCTCCTCATCTAGGTTATGGAAAGAAAGGAAGCGGACCCATACCACGTAAGTAGACTTTAGGCCTGTTTTCATCAGCTCAAGTTTTCCAAATAGCCCGCTATTTTCAGACTCGGGATATCATCCCGAAACTCAAAATTGTGTCTCCACCAGACAGATACGCTCATCACAAACTAGCTCGGATGGGCCCAAATTAGCACGCTATTTTCTAAATAGCGGGGTATTTAGGAAACGACCAATATTTCTCCAGATATTTTCTCGACCAAATATCCGTCTAAAGGCAACTGTGGGCCGATGAAGATGCAAATTAGCTGCATAATATGCGATCAGGATAGTTAAAATAGCTGGTTATTTGGCAAAATTTGAGTTGATGAAGACGGACCTTATGAGGATGGGGATCCTTTTGCCTTGAAACTTATAAATCAAATACAATATTAATCCTATTAGCAGTAAACTATAAAAATCTTTATCCTGATTGGTTGTAGGTTAGAACATTGTATCTGATTATTACAAGTTGGATGATCACTATTGATTATTGAAGTTTTTACTGTTTTCAATTGTTATTCAATCTGAGAAAAGGATTGCAGTGGGAGGGGGCGAAGCGAAGGCAATCGGAAGGGAATATCCATGCATGCTTTTCTAGCTTTATACATAATCTCTGTTCCTATTGATGTGGAACTAATATGAGTGTTTTGATAGAGTTTGTTCCAATGCACTACCATGACTAGCATTAAACTTCATATTTGAATGTTATTATTGTGGATCGATAAAAATCATGTATAGATAATCAATTCATGCGTTTGGCAGAAAAACAATGCTGAATGTTCATGAGATACAAAAAGAAATTAAGAACAAAAATTGATGGAACTCCCACTCAAAGGATGGGACACAGCAAGTGGGTGTAATCAATAAACGATAGGCTATGGCAGTGCCTTGTCAGTTGGCTTGAATGGAGGTATACTATAGGGAGGAAACACAGTCATGTAGGATATATGAGGGGGGAAAAAATTCACCATGCACTTTCTAAAGATCAGTATAAAATGCGTGACCCTCAATAATATGGAGTAGAGAGATGAATTTCACAAAATAATATATTGCCATGTAATTTTGCGTGTAGTCTGTATCTGATGTTTTGGATCCTAAATTTTTGATGTGGCACCCGGTTGGGAATTGACAATTTTGAATGAATTATTTGCCATCAGATTTTAAGATACTTTGACCTGTTTTCTCAACCCCTCATGGCATCAACTTTCTGGGAATAAAATATGATTTTTGTTAAAGTGTTTTGTTAAAGTGCTTTAGCCAGTAAACAGTGCAATCATTTTCAAATATACAGTGTGAGTCAAAAAAAGTTTACACCTAGAAAATTGCTGATTATTTTTAAAATGCACTCTCGCAAACAATGCATCCTGTTCATCCGAGCATGAAAACACATGCCACACAAAAATGATACCAAATGATTTGGGATAAAACACCTTTTGATAAGATGTATAACAATTTACTGTAAATAAATGATTTTTAAAATTATTAGCAATTCTCTAGGTGTAAACTCTTTTTTGACTCACACGGCTCTTCACTTGCCACATACTCATACAAGATAGATAGTGCTCGTACAACAAATGGAAACCATGTCGCACCAGTGCATATTAATCTGTTACATGTATTTCTTATGCCTTTCTTTTTGTTTCTCGTAGCCGATTCGACACTCGTCTTCGAAACAGAGCTTGTGGATTTACAGAAACCTGAAACTTCTCTTGCCAATCGAATAATGAAGCTCGTCCGATTCATAGTCCCTCCATCGATAGTGATCCTACTCCTCTATTACATGTGGGAGAAGAGCGCCAAAAATCCATTAGGGAAATTAAAAGGGGACAGAAGGGGCAAAAAGAAGAGATAATGTACAACATTTAGTACCCTGCACTTTTAATAATACACTCAGTGGACTGTTATTATGCAAGTTGGAAAAAAAACACACTTACAAATAATTTTAGGGATGTGCTTCGTGTGAGTTGTCAGTTTCTCTGTTTCAGTCCATGTTTCAAACTGCAATTATATACCAAAGTAATTGGAAAAATCTTTTGTGTTGCTTTGATGAAGCTTATTCGTGTATCCGTCTGCTGTGTGTAATGTGTTTTACTTCTTACACGAATGTCACAAAAACTTGAACTCCAAACAAATAGTTAACATTTATAGAAGTATGTTGGAGTGAAATTGCTATAAAAAGATATCATATTGACTTCAATAAGTATGACTTTAAAGATATATTTCCAATGAGATAACGCAGCTGCAAATATAGTTTATAAATGTTTGTCCTGCGATTAAAATATATAGTAAGAATATGAGAAGCTACCTATGGAATCACAAAGGATGTACATGGGGTGCTACAACCCTTATGCCTGGGACATCCTAAAATAGCAATTGTGTTATTTTATGGCATTAGCTTTAGACATATGAAATATTTTTTTAGGAATTTTTTGTGGAAGCCAACCTACCTACCTAAGGGGAGCATATTCAGCCCCTTGATACAACACATAAAGCAGCCTGGTATTTACCTTGTTGTTATTGTTTTTGTTTCATTAGAAGTACTGATATTTGTAATATCCATTTTGAAATTGGATGTTGGAGCAAAGGTATTTTGTAGATGCTTTCTTGCCAGTGTGCCTGAGCAGTGAGGCTGTGCATTAATATGAAAATATCAGTTGTTGCTAAGTCAAGCAATCTGTAAAGGCTTTTAGAGAATGAAGAGTATGCTTTGGCCTCAAGATAGAAAAATAATATACATTTATGAGAGAAAATTTCTGAGTTAAAATTATAATTAGAGTTTGATCAAGTAAATGAAGTTATTTTACACTCGCAATATTTCTGGTAGAGAATGAAGTAATATATTTCCTCTAGTTCTGCCCCCCCCCCTCTCTTTCTCTCTCTTCATTTTTTTGTCTTTTTCTTATCTTTCACATTCCAGTATGCTTTTAGACCCCCCCCCCTCTCTTCATCACGTCACTGTTTCATATTTGTTTTACTACATGTTTTTCTTTCCATTCATCTACATGTGCATAGCCAATTCAGTGCATATTATGCAGTATCAAGATGATTAATTTCATCCAATTTTTTTTAAATCATGGCTTAAACTGTATTCACACCAAATTGTATATATCTATTAACATTCCAACATCATGTACATTCTGTCATGCATTTACGATACAAGGGTTGCACATGTTAAATCTATAGATTGTCTTTAGGTATTATAGTCATATACACCCGAGTTTGAGATATGAAATTTAAATGGTGTTCATGATTTAATATGCAGGAAGATGGTGCCAAAATATTTTGTGTAATTTTTTTTCTTCTTTCTTTTCTTCATTATTATAAATTGTATAGCTTTCCTTGCCTTTACTTTATCTTAATGTTTTTCTTCAAAAACCTTTAAATGTACAGTCAATGTTGCTGTTATAGTGGTCAACTCTATATTCTTGTAACAGCAGAAGTATGCAAATTGTCCAGTGATATTTACATAAATTTGCGATCTCACTTGTATGTAAAAATAATCATATCATGCAAGAAATTTAAAGTATGTGTTGATGAAGGATCGGTATGCCTATAGACTTGGACATGTTCACAAATAAATACATTCCGATAACAGATACAGGTCTGACTGTATGTGAGGGACTTTTTATTTTCTCTATCTTTTACTTTTTTTCTGTTTGTTTATTTTGCTTGTATTTTGGCTAATGAATATCCATTGATATGGAAGTGCAAAGAGCTAGTTTGAACAAAGTCAATGTCGGTGCTTGTCTATTCTATAAAATACTATGTGAAAAATCATGACTGTAATAAATCACTTTTTAATGAATCAATACTTCATTATTTTTCTTATTTATTTCATTATTTATATGAAATATCATGCCTTTGATATGTTGGTTTTGAAATGTGCATGTGTGCCTTGTGTGTTTGCAGCTTGTATAATTTCTAAAAGTTAAATATTTTTGCCAGCACCTGTCAAAATGTAGCAACTGTGCTTCTTTCCCTTGTCGATCGAGAGAGAGAGAGAGAGAGAGAGAGAAAGAAACAACATAAAGAGAGAGAGTGTGTGTGTAAGAAAGAGAGAGAGTGAGAGAGAGTTAAGAAGGGGAAGGCTATATAAGAAGATGATAGTTACGACTACTTCCACTACCCCCTCAATGGCCCTGATATCTCTTGTACATCCATCAAATACTAACCCCGGTGCCCAAATCATCGACAATTTTGCAATTGTGCCCCCCCCCCCTAATTGCTAAACCCACGTTACGCCACTGTACAGTTGTCAAATATCGAGAAGTATGTGCGCTTCCATTGCGGATGCTTCCAGGAAGGACGGTAACCCGACACATGCTCCGCCGACGATTGCTCCGCCGACATTTACTCCGCAAAACGCGACAATTGCTCCGCAACATTTGCTCCGCGACATTTGCTCCGCCGACAATTGCTCCGCCGACATTTGCTCCGCCGACATTTGCTCCGCCCACAATTGCTCCGCCCACAATTGCTCCGCCGACATTTGCTCCGCCGACAATTGCTCCGCCGACAATTGCTCCACAAAACGCGATAATTGCTCCGGTGACAAATGCTCCTCGAACGACAGTTGCTCCGCCGACAGTTGCTCCGCCGAAATTTGCTTTCCCTTCTAAAACCCGAACCATTCCTTTCTGACTTCCTTTCCATTTCCTGCTCTGCTCTGTCTCTGTCTCTCTCTCTCTCTCTCTCTCTCTATGTCTACCGTATATGTCTCTCTGTCTCTGTCTCTGTCTCTCTCAATCTCTCTCTCTCTCTCTCTCTCTCTTTCTCGGTCACTCTTTCTTCGCTCTGCTCTTTCTTTTATTCTCTTTTAGTTTCCTTTATACAATTTCCTTTTCGAATTTTAGATTATCTACTTTTAATACAGCATTGATGAAATACTTCATAAACAAATAAACAAACAAAAAGATACTCATGCACATGAGCTTATTGTTTATATATTTTTGTATCATTATTTTTTTTTTTTAACATTTATTTTACATAAATTCAGAATTCAATGCCTTTCATTTTCTTTTTGCAAACTCTACTTCATTCTTTTCACTCTAGTCAGCACCAGTCTACTCTACTTTCTCCATTTCGATTGTGTCCTGAAACAAAACGATGAGGAAATCGAATCGATTTCGTCATGGTCGCCATTTTGTGTTCATGCAGAACCGTCTGTATCACGTGATTCGCCAGCTCCCTTCCCGCTGTACATCCTCGCGCCAAGATAACCTGTTTTCCTCATCACGAACCAACACAATCCCAGAAAACACTCCAACAGTTTTTCGTTTTCAAGACAGAGAAGTATTTCAAATTCTCTTCAGTGGGGATTTAAAACAAACTGTAATCCAATGACCGGGGTAATAGTATATTTGTAAAGCGCAATGTAAATGCAATCTCATTAAGGAGACGACTTTCTATTGGTCTAACCTTTCTTCCTCGTCTATTATCATCTACTCGTCATGGACCCTGTCCGTGCTCCGAAACGACGTCGAACTCCATTTGGGTTCTTTGATCGTATTCGGAGCCATCTGGTCATGACCTTCCGATTCCCTTCCCGCAGGTCGATTCCCGATCCCAAGCATACAGATCTCCGATATTTTCCCGCTCAACGCGCGCGCGCATCTTTGCGAACTTCCCGAAACCTTCTAGCTCATCGAGGGTATTGAATTCGATGTATTAAACGTTTTGGGTGGTTCGCTGAGGTTGTAATAGTTAGGGGAAGCATCGAAAACATGCCAGCTTGAGACGAGAACCTCCGCAGTACTAAAGAAACCGATAAGTCACTTCAATTCATTATAGTGACCAGATGCTTCAGATCAGGTTTGAAACTACTTCGAGCACTTTAGCTCTTCTGTATAATCTGGCTTTGATTGTTCATAGCTGAAAGAGATCTGATAATGTCCTGACTGGATGTTTGTTACATTCTATCGGCTATCGTTAATATTATTTGGCCTGTTCATTCCTTCTCTGCGTCGTCACGGTATTTTGGTTATTGTCATTGGTTGACAATTAAAGGCCAATACCTCTTCTTTATAGAAATGATAAATATATTAACTTAATACACCAATCATTTTACATTATGTACACATCAATATAAAATATCATATCTTGGCGAGATTATGAGAGGTTTCTCTTCCGAGCTTTGGCGATGACCTTCTCAATATGTTTCCACGAGGGTCGCAGACGAGGTTTGACATTGGTCATCTCAATCGCTAGGTCACGCAAAGGTCGACTTATTATCCCCTTCTCAATCCGAGCCAGCATCTTGCCCAAAGAATATTATGTCAGTTTGAACACTCATGGGTTGTAGATCCAAGATGTACTCCGGAGCCAGATGCGGGAATAGGATGCCATCCTTGTACCCTGCTATCTCCTCCTTAAGCACCTGTTTGTGCCTGAGGGGAATGGTCTGAGTCGAGACTTTGCCATGTCGATGATGAAAGCATGCCATCGTTGGTCTTCAAGTTGCCATTGCAAGAGGATGTTGTTGGCTTTCAGATCGTTATGCAAGAGACCTTTCTCATGCATGGATTTCAAGCCGTGGATGATGTCCATCATGATGAGGAACCAATGTTCTTTGGAGAGAGCAGGAATCTGGAACTTGATGGCCTGGCTGAGCGAGTAGATCATACCGGTCTCCTTATCACCAAGGAACTCGAGGATGAGAGATGGAGCACCTTCGATGTCAACGATGCCGAGTGTCTTCGGGAAGGAGGGGTGGTCAGCGAAGGCGAGATTGACCAGGGCTTCCATGGTGATACGAGCGTAATCGGCTTTGATTCGAACCATCCTCATCTCATCATCTTCATCCCTGACGGCCTCACTGATGTAAGGCACCTTGACGGCGACAGCCTCACCTTGATACTGCCTCAAGAAAACTTTCCCGAATAAACCCTTTCCGATGAGAACGTCGTCCTCATCGACGTCGGCTCCGACCAGGAATGAAAGGTCTTCGGGCTTGATGACGGGCACCACCACATCTGAAGGAATGTGCTCGACCACAGCTCGGTCTACGTAAGCCATGTTGTCATACATAGAGTCCTTTTCATGGAGCACGTTTTTGTGGAAGCTGTGAGTGAATGAATTGAAAAGAAAGTAATAATCCAGCTTTATTTTAGATCCAGAGTTTAAAAAGTAATTTTCATGAATCTTCGATTACTAATCTTATTCATTATTAATGCTAATACAATTATCCTTTATAAAAACACGTATGAAAATAAAACAAAATAACATTTAAAAAACCCATATAGGCAGATTACGTGACTGCGCCAAATCAGTTGAGGAACCGTATATTTTTTGTCACATCGGTATTGTCATTTCATCATGAGGACTGTTAAATCTTGATTATACTTACACAGAGAGTTGGTATCTTAGTTTCTTGATCAAGCTTTCTTGTCTGCACATCTGGTATTGAAGATCTTCTAACATCTCCTTCAGTTCACATCTCTCTCGCTCTCCAGGACTGAAAAGAAATAGCATACATCAATTTTTAGTAAAGTTTCAGTCCTTCTTTAGTTAATCTGCCTGTTCGATTTTTGTCCTGGTTGCACTTTGCTTGTTTGTTTGATTCCTTTGGTTTTGTTTGTGGTTGTGTGTTTCATGGTGGGGACACGTTTAGGTAAATACAGATTTGATGTTGGTATATCCATCTCGGCGAATGAATTGAAATGATTCAGATCTTAGTCGAGGATTCTTCAAAATTAGCTTCAAGTTTCGATCAAGGTGTGAAATTATTATGACAAAGAAGTACTAAAACATATTTTGATTTATTACAAATATTTTACTCTAAATGGATGTAATTGTATTTAGCTTTTCATCGGATAATATATGAGTTACTTTACCTTTTCTCTGCAGCCGAATCTCCGCATTCAAGAAATGGATCTCCAATAGCCGGAGTATTCATCTATAAGAGAGAAATAAAATCGAAATACATACATTTTATTCGTCTATCTCAAATTACCAATGCTAATATTTGCAATCATTTTTACTAAATAAATAAAAGGAAGACTTCCATGTATTTTTTCCTTCTAAATATAACAGCAAGCGAAACTTTAATCAATGTCGCCGAATTTAATGACAAATTCCAATAAAACAAATCTTGGATAAATGCGATATATTATATACCAAATCAAGTGCAACGGTGTGACGTACCATTTCATCGAAGGTCTCTTTGGTCTACTTCAAATTGGCAATCTCGAGTTTCAAATGTGGTTCCATGACACATGCTCCGCCGACGATTGTTCCGCCGACATTTACTCCGCAAAACGCGACAGTTGCTCCGCGACATTTGCTCCGACGTCAAATGCTCCGCCGACACTTGCTCCGCCGACATTTGCTCCGCCGACATTTGCTCCGCCGACAATTGCTCCGCCGACAGATGCTCCGCCGACAATCGCTCCGCCGACATTTGCTCCGCAAAACGCGACAATTGCTCCGGTGACAAATGCTCCTCGAACGGCAGTTGCTCCGCCGACATTTGCTCCGGTGACATTTGCTTCGACGACATTTGCTCCGACGACATTTGCTCCATAAATAAAAATAAAAAACAGAAAGTGCAATAAATTTTCAATAATTTATTGCATTTTACCCTGGTCCCCAACATAAAAAAATCCTCTGGACGGCCATGCATTATGGCTCAAGGCATGGGCACACATAAGATTTGTTATGTTGGGAACCGGGGTAAAATGCAATAAATTATTGAAAATTTATTGCATTTTCTGTTTTTTTTTTTTATATTTATGGAAACTGCCCCCTACCCTAGCCCTCGCTGCGTACGGTCATGGTTCAGTGAAAAAGCAATGGCCTCGTAACTGTGAGGCCCCAGGATCAAAACCGTGTCGATGTGCTATATTAGTGCCCTTTTGTGGGGCATTAATCCTCATTACTGTCATTTATCACTTAAGAGCGTAGGTCCCCTAGTTGATAAGCATTGTAGCATACAGATGCCTCAGCAGTCACGCAAAACACACATTGGCAAATTAGTATTCAATAAAATCTGAGAATGTATACTATTATCTAGATCTATTATTTTTAAATTATTTGTAAAATAATTCCATAAATTGGGGTAAAAAAGAAATATTCCACCTTTATGAGCGACAGTGTACAAATGTAATCGATATTATGGGAACCAAATGATCTTTGTATCTTGGATTTGGATCTTTAACTATCTGCTCTAAAATCAAACAAACAAACAAAACAGACACAAAACAAAACATAACAAAACAAACATTCAGCATAAAACAGTACAAAACAAAGTATATCTTTCGTCAATTTTTCCAAGTTGCCGTTTAGGCTACGTCTATACCTAGGAAACTGAAATTTGCCTTTCTCTGTCTCTTCTTCCCACCAAATCACCTGTTTACTGCTCAAATTGACTCATCATTGAACTTATGGACTCGTCGATTATGTTTGGGGGGAATTGTTTTTCAATTTAGTATGCATTTGTGTGAATATCGAACAATTGTGTATAGCAAATAAGGATAATATTGTGGGAGAAAATGTAAATGATCCACGACTACCATCTAGATTCGTTATTCTGGCAAGGATAGATTTATCAATTATAATTTGATAAAAACGCTGGAAGTCTTATCCCCTTGATAAGACATGGTCGAGTCTAAATGGGTCAATTCATTACGGATGGTTGTAAACATTGCGAACGACATGTACACACAAAACCACGTGTGTGCGTTAAAAAGCGTACAGTGAGCTCCCTCTTAAACGGGAGCGTATACAGCGGATGCAATTGACTAGATGATAAGAATGTAACGGCGCCAAACGCAAGCATTTTTAGATTATCGTCTGCGTTACGGCAGTGCTGGCGGATTTGTGGGAAGAGCGTTTCGACGATCGCTTCATCGTTCATTGCTAATGTAATAGGGCATGGGAGTAGGTAGGACGCCACAATGCCCCGGTATCTCTATTCCACTGTCGTGCTAACACATGCTGTATGGATTCTCGTGCTTTTATCACTATCGGCCGTTCTAGGCATTATCGACGAGTTGAGAGTGGAGATCGAGGTAGGCACGGTTTTCATTTTAAATTGTGACTAGCTTTTCCTTGTCGATTCGAGGCTAAAATCAAAAAGTCGTTACTTCCATGTGCTAGAGTTGTGAATGTGAGGTGCTATGGATAAGATATAAAAACGCTTTTTATAGAAATGTTTCAGCGTGGCTGTGCTTATTTTAGATGATGATGTTTATAAAGATGATAATGCATATATGAGAAATATCAGTAAAGTAGCTGTTCTCCATCAGTGGCTTAAAATGCATCTGTAGTAGGCCTACCTACAGTGCTGATGTCACAAAGGTGGGGGTCTCTCTTTTTTGACGGGGTTGGGAGTCGGGGGCACACGAGTACATTTTTACTGTGTTGTGTATCAGTAAAGGTAGACCTATGGTATAGAGTCGTGGGGCGTGCCCTGCATGGCCTGTGCCTATGTGCCCCGTTGACCCGTCACTTTAACATAGCCATTGACAGCAGATACAGGATGGAAACATGACATTCCATTATTTTTTAGTAGTTATCTTGCAACAAAGAAAGGAACAAGCTAAAATAAAGTTTTTTGATGGAGTATCTTCGAAAGATATGAACTTATCGCTCTAAAGTAAACACCAACAAAATAATAATAATAATGAACTCTTAAATTGTTCCTGCATGCATATTCTTCAAATATTCGTTAAAAAGGAGAGATATTTGGCATTCCAAAACAAGACATTCAAATGCCATGACGAGCTATATTGATACATCTTCACTGGAGAAAGAGAGAGAGAGAGAGAGAGAGAGAGGGGGAGAGAGAGAGCTGAACCTATGAACATATACATTTCTCCTGAAAATGGCGTAAAAGATAGAAATTATGCAGACAGAGAGTCAAGCATCTCTGATGCTTTCGGGATATAGCTAACACTCGATCTGTAGTGAATATCTGTTACCCAGGGCTGTTACCATGGTAACGAAATTAACCCTCATAATAACCGGGATGTCCTGGCCGCTATATAGTGATGAGAGCCATAGCCAAGAGTCTATGTATTTGGTAGTGGCAGTGTTGAGGAGCATCTATGTACGTTTTAATATCCTCACCAATTAGGATAAGATTTAAGGGTTTTGTTCATTAATAATAAACTGGTTGGCATTAAAACCAGCATGCACGTTATGTGGTCTTACTAAATAAGTAGGTACTGTTTTAATGGAAGTATAAATTGTCCAAGCCAAGCGTTGGATAAAAATCACATGCTCGCATAATGAGATATGACATCACACTTTTTCTCACTGTGTAATTCTGAAAAGATACAATTCTTCATGTATGGGAGCTTGAGGCGGTGCTACTTGTTTGTATGTCAATAACTCTGTTTCATAAACTGAGTTTAAATACCATGAAATGGATGAGACAAAATTACCTCGATCATCTCCCAATGTTATTGCATATTAGCATAATACTTATGAATTTTAAGCGGTACTTTACGAGGAATGCACACAGTATGAAAAGCTATTAGGCGATACCGATCCGTCAATTCGATTGTGAGTCATCCTGGGGATCGGTCGTCCTTCATTACACCTCGGAATATTCTCGGTGTTTTGTTTCAAGGCCTCTGGCGAATTATGAAATTAAGAGGTAAATTTCGAATCTCTTAGCTGTATGTCCTTCGTCTGTCCCTCTTCTCCCTCATTTTCTCTCCGCCACTCGCTCTCCTCAGGCCTCTGCCTCTACCCCCCTCTCTCTCTCTCTCTCTCTCTCTCTCTTTCTCTTTTCCTCCCCTCCTTCGTACTATGTGTTCCTTCGTTCATCAACCATCATGACCATTTTCCTCGTTATCCACCGTATACGACCTAATAGATCAATGGATGCTATATCGGGCTTATTCGTGGTTTCTCCACCTCCCCTCCCCCCTTCCCTCTTCCATTTTACCATTCTCATTTGACAACATGCCTCCATTATTCAATTTGCATTTGAGCAATTTCCTTTGATTCAACCTTGACCATTCTTCGTAGCATGTTTTTTTATGTTTTCTTCACCTGCTTAAACATAAACTAGAAACAGGGTTGCAGAAACATTTCGACTCACTATCCTCCATTCATTTTAATATGATTTATGCATCAAACAAACCACATGTTTATCAAAGGCAACAACCATCCACCATGATAGTTCTACTTCTTTTTCTTCTTCTCCTCCTCCTTCTTCGCTTTTCCTCCTTCATGTTCTCCTTGCCCTATTCTCCCCCTCTTATCCGCATGAAAAGCAAGCGCCATGCGCGCCCAGCAGAGGAGGATACAATAAATTATATACCCGCACTACACGAAGCCATCATCATCATCATCATCATCATCGTCATCATCATCATCATCATCATCGTCGTCATCATCATCATCATCGTCGTCGTCATCATCATCATCACCATCATCATTCTCGTTGTAATTATCATTATTATCAACATTATAAGATCACCATCATCATCATCATAATTTCCTCTCTTATTTTCTTCTTCTTCTTCGGCTTCTTATTCTCGTTCTGTCTATATCTATCTCTAAATCTATAAATTAT